TTTACCTAGCTTGATATAAAAAAAAAACCTCACTCTGGTGGGAATTCCTTTTAGCAGACAAAATGGGCGCACCTCAATATGGGCAGATAAAGATGAGAAGCATATATCTAAATCACATTGTTAAATGAGCTTTATGTTCATTTAAGATGATTCATCTTGTATTTGACTCTGAAGAGGTTTAACCTTATCTAAATCACTGGCGCAAATCTAATGAATCATGTCTTCAAACTGTCTCTTCCCTTATTTTATTATAATGGAACTCAGAATAAAATTTTGTATCAGAACAAGTAGGGAATGAAGTGAATTTTCTTCTGTGTGTAATGACATGCCAGCCAACCTTGTGTTACGCAGAAACAGTGGAGAGAGTGAATGAGGGAAATAATGGAGAGCGGCCACCTACGTCCTGTCTTGGAGTTAGGGGTAACACGCAGAATTAGGACTATGATCAACGTGGAAAGGAATCTAACTTGTCTGTGTCTTTGTAACTGCCATGGTGGGTCAGAATCAACATCTCTTTTCTCAGGGAGGAGGATTGCAAAGTGCTTTGCACTATTTCATAAACATGTCTAAAGAGTAGAAATTAATAACCAGAGAAGCCATGAATGAAGTACTGTAGAAGATATATTACTTGGAACTTCATAGGAACATATCTACCCAATATTTGCATACAAGTTGAAATAGATGAACATGAATATATTCATATGCCATTCCAATTTAATACACCCTAATTTTAAGATGTTTAAATATCATATCATGCTATTGATCTAGTTATTTGAATATTGAGTGAAAGTTAAATCAGTTTTTGGCTCACCAAGAAAATATTCTGAGAATCAGCTTGTGAGCTTAAAACATGCACTTTGTAGGTCTAGCTTGAAGCATCTGTTTTATAACTCTCACCTGAGCGGGTGCCTATGGAGAAGTAGTTTTCACCCCCATTCTGGAACTCTGTCATTCATTATTTTGTGTTACTGTTGCTTTTCTCAGCATCCCCTTTAAATAATGAAAACTCTCTGAGGTGGGGATGCTATGGGGAGCAATAATGATTGAGTTAGTGTTAGCTATTTCTTTGCTGTAGAGCTGAGCACAAAATTAATTCACTTTACTTTTGTATGCACAAGGCCAATTCTATCAGTCAGCCTTCCTTTTTCTATTTTTTTTTGTTTGTTGGTAAGAGTCCAATTTTATTTGGTGGGTGGAGGAGGAAGACTGTGTATATTTGCTGGAGATGTCTTTATATGCTCTACTGGACTCTTTTGGTGGAAAAGAATAAGAGGAATTATGCATATTTCAGCAATAGAAAAGACTGCATTGCTGAATGTGGACAAAACAAATGCAAATTTACTGCATCCCTAACAGAAATTTGAGGAATCTAAATGGTTTCTTTTTTTGTTTGTTTAATACCATTATTTATAATTTTTATTTAAAGCAATATAGCAGCCTTTGAAGAATTGACTGATCCTCCATATAATAAGAAATAAAAAATAAATCATTCAAAGCAAAAAAATAAAATCTCACCAGAAGAGTTAAAGATAAATACGTTACTTCTGGTTTTCTTTGGACTTGAAGAACTTGCATTTGTGCTAGTCCATAGTCATAATTAAAGGTGTGATTGTTCTTTTCAAGGCATGCTTCTTATGTGTGTCCAGACCATTGCTGTTCAGCATTAGCATTTAGTCATTTTAGTTAGTGTGGTTGTTGATGTAGAAACATAATATAGGTTTTGCCTCAGATAGTTTTTTGCAAGAATAAAGAAATGTCTTATTGAAAACCTATTTATTTTTGCTTGTTTTTCCTTTTACTGCCATCCCACAATGGTGGGAAAATGCTCCGGCAGGTAGCTAAAAAAATCTACAGGTAAGAATTGGCTCAATGTTGTATGCACAGTGTTTCTCCACCTAACTCAAGCCTCATACCTGTGTTTGTAATAAGATTGCAGATCACAGAGAAAATGTGTAGCCTTTCCTCATACAGGTAAACATGATTTGAAACCATCCAGGAAACTCATGATTAAAAAAATACATCATCCAAAGTTTTAATTTAGGAAAATTGTTTACTTGTCAAACACTTCCACTTTGAGGCTGAATGCACACTTGCACATAAGCAAATGAGCAATTGGTTTAGGAATATAGTGTTGGCAAGGAGAATAGAAATATGCCTTTATAAAACAAATAGCAACAACAACAACAAATCCTTCCTCTGCTTTTGTCCCAAACATTTTTTTTTTTTTGCTAAACTAAAGGCAAACACCATAAATTTGGGTGTTTCAAGAAGCTTAGAAGCTCAGCAGTCACCTGCTGGGTAAAGCCTTTCCAGACTTCCCCAGTAGAAGCTGGGAGCACTTCCTCACAGCACCTCTCACTGTGCTATCAGAGAAATGGCTATTTGTTTGCCTTCTTATATACTCTGATCTCCTTAAATGTAGAGATTTGATATTTTATCTCTCCATCAAAGTATGTAGGGCAGTGCTCTGATACATAGAGCACTTGTTCACTAAATATTAAAGCACTAATGAAGGAAATGACAGTGAGTGTTGCCCCACCTTCACCATCCACAATGTCCTGCTAACTCTTTCCAACTACAAACCCTCAGTATGTTCCTATGCCTGCCATGCCTGTTGCTTCCTCACATTACTGTGAATGCAGTTGCCCTTGCCTTGTCAACTCCTTTCATCTGTATAAACCTGATCTTATTTGATGGTTCTGTTCTCATCCCTCTACTGCCATAGTATTTCGCAAGTGCAACCACTCATACTGTTGTCTCCTTTCTCTGACCTCACATTGCACTACACAGCTTATCTCTTCACAAAATGTTTGGATCACTCTCTATCACTGCATTGCCTCAAATACTGTTTTGTATCGTCTTGAGCAGCACTGTCTAGTAGAAATTTCTGTGATGATAAAATATTCTATAATCTGCACTGTCCAATATAGTAGCCACTAGTCTGTATGGCTGTTGAGCACTTGAAATGTGACAAGTGAAGGTGTGGCTCTGAATAATCTAAAAACTTTTAAACTAATTAGCATCTAAATTTAAATAGTCATGTTTGGTTAGTGGCTACCATATTTGATAGGTAGCACAGTGCTTGGCACATAGTAAGTGACCAATAATACTTAATAGACTGTGTTCAGGAATCTGACAGGAAAATGTATCGTTCTGAGAGAATGCTTATCAAATACTTGAGAAGACTGAGAAATCAAAATGGGAATAGGAAAAAAGAAATTAAATTCACTAGGAGAAATAATGGATTTGAGAGACAAGACAAAGTAGGTACCGTAGAGAAAGTGAATTGATTAGGAAGACCTGTAGCTTCAGAAATCCAAACTAACACTGATATAAAAAAGCCAGAGAAGTAGCTATTAAATGTACCATCTTGCTTCTTCTGTAAACTCAGAATATGAGTTAATTAAATTAAGAAGATTGAAGGATAGAATGAACAAAATGCAGTAGGTTTAATTCAACTGCATTCTATTAGCAGAATTTCAATGAAAATGTTTTATTTATTATTAGATATCTGGCAACACACTGTTATATTTTAATTTCATTGTATTGACTATCAAACTGTTATAACTGAATTTTATCATATTGACTATTGCTTGAAACAGGTTGGCCACAGCTATTTGGTTAGAGATGCTTTTATAGTAGTATTTAATTCTTCTGTAACTCGACCCTTTGCAAATTATTTTGTGTACATTTTGAATTCTAGTTATAAACTGATTTCAATAACTTCTTTGTCTTTTCTATAAAGTAAAAAAACTCTAGGGTTACAGTTTCCTTCATTCATGTAATAAATATTTATTGAATGCTGTCTGTGAGCCAGACAGTGAGCTAAGCTTTGGGAAAAATCTAGTAAATGAGCCAAACGTATTCTTTGCCCTCATGGAACTTGAATCTAGCAGGAAAAATGTCTGGCTGCTGAATAAAAGCTAACAAACATTAAAAATATCAGGAAATGATACATGCTAAACAGTATGATTCCAACTATGCCCCTAGCTCCTGTAAAAGAGTCAGTTAAGAACCCAGGAAGATGTGTGTGGGTTAGGGCAGACTAAGAAGGCTTTGAGGATGAGCCCTGGCTTTAGCTGACCTATGAAGCTGGGAGCTGGAGAGAAGATGGGTGGGTGACAGGAATGTCAAAGGCATTACAGGTGAGAGAAATAACGTGAGTGGTGTCTACACTGTGGAAATGAGCATGGGGAAAGTGAGGAGACAAATCTGGCTTCAGTGGAAAATAATCATAAAATCACAGAACTATCTTCTCAACACAGACAGATATGTAACATTAGTAAATAGAGACAGTTTATGGAGAGGATACCCAGTCTGATGCCATGTTGGGATGTGCAGATGAAGAAATTCTCAAAGCCCATAAAGACCTGGAACACAGGTCAGACACTGGAGAAGGGGCTACGGATTTGGGAATCATCAACTAGTTATGTAGGATAACTAGTCATTATGAGCCAATGACAGTGACTAAATTTAGGAAGGGAGAGAAAGTAGCCAGATGTAAGCAGGAAACAGAGGATAGAGTCTTGGAGAAAAAAAACAGTAAATTATTGTTGTAATAAAGTAGGGTGAGAAGCACCTTATTGCCAGAGAAAAATATCTTTTTAAAGAATGGAACATCAAAAGGGACATATGCTGAAAAACTGAGAAAATGAAAATTAAGAAAGACTCCTGGATTTAAGAGGTTCTGATTATTTTTGAAAGAGCAAATTCATTAGGACACTTGGTGCAGAAGTCACTTTTCAGGAATTAAGAAGAGAAGAGGGTGCATAGGGTGTGAAAGTGGGAAACCACATGTTTGAGAAAGTCGGTATTGCAAATAGCAGACTTCCTAGAGGCTAGACCATTTAGTTGGTTATTCGTGTATTTTTAAAAGGCAGGAGACCTAAGTATATTGAAGTTGGAAAATAAGGAGCCTTTGGTGATTTTGAAAGTGAATAGTTCACTTCTTCTTATTGTGTTTGGTCTAAACTTGAATCCTCTTTTTCATTAAATTCTAGTGAGTCCATTACAGAAGAAACCCTGAAAAAGGCAAAGGAGATTGGGTTCTCAGACAAGCAGATTTCAAAATGCCTCGGGCTGACTGAGGCGCAGACAAGGGAGCTGAGGTTAAAGAAAAACATTCATCCTTGGGTTAAACAGGTAAAGGAGAAAAGGAGTTTTTCTTTCTTCCCAGGATTTCTTGGGTGAAATGTAGGCACCAATTCATAGAGCCATTTTCAATAAAAAGGGGCGGAATTCGAAAGTGATTTTACTTTTTCAATTGATGCCCATGACGTCACTTATTTTATTCAGCACAGGATTGATTTATGCTTTAAAGGGGAAAGGATGAAGGGACACTGGGATATAAAGGGAAGAGTGAGTACATGATTTTCTTGGCCTAAATGAAAAAAAAAATCAAAATGACCTCTCCTCTACTTTTTGACCCACGTGCAAATATATCTGTAGTAAGAGAAATCCTTAGCATGATAGAAGGACTTGAAATGCCCTAGTGTAGTGACTGACCCTCTTGAAAAGAACAGTCATCTCTTTTGGCACTGACTTTTCACAGGGTAATACTTTATTTTAAGTGCCCCATCATTATGGTTCATTTAGTATTCATTGTGTTAGGGTTGGGCATAATGAGGTCACCTAGTATTCATGACAATCACACAAGAATTTTCATAGGTGTACTGTTGTGGTTTTTTTTGGGTCTTTAGTAGAAGAGATGCTCTGGCTTAAAGTACCACCAGCAGGTTTTTGTCCTTTAAAATCATTGGCTTTTCCCCATGTGCTCAGGGGGCACACACATAACCTTAGGTCTCAGGCTTGATGCCGAATATTTTCTACTCAGCAATTATTATCTTTCTTCCTTCTCACTTGCCTTACATTAGTTTGCCCTGTCGGCCCCAAATTCTTGCTCACTAAGCTGAGCTCCTGGCCCTTGAGAGCTGAATTGATTTACTCTTTCCAAATATGTTCAATGAGATCTTGTCCCCTTCCCTTCTTCCTCATGCTTTGTGGTATTTATGTCATCCCATTGCTCAGTGCCATAGGTAACTTAAATCCTATGCATTAATTTGCAAACCAAAGACATCCTTATATATAGGTCATTTTGCTTTGATTTTAGGTTTTATTTGCAGTTGCTTTAGACAGCTGGTTGGGTAAGTTTTCCTGATAACCAGTTGACTACATGACCACCTTGTTGTGTTCCTGAGAGGTACTATGTAATGATCTGTTGCTCTGGAATGCGTATTGTCTGTCATTCATTGCCCAAGTGATAGCTAAATTGTGTCATTATTTTTTTCTCCCCTCTCACTTTTAGCATTAGAAAGCAATTGGATTGTACATACCTTTTTCTTGTCTTTATATTTGATAGTAATGGACGTTAAAGGAATATGAATGCAGAACAAAAAAAAAAGTCCACAGCATCCTTGAAAAATAATTATAATAAGGGGAGTAAAAATCCCTATGTAAGTATTTATTTATTTATTTAATCTTGCAGATTGATACACTGGCTGCAGAATACCCATCAGTAACAAACTACCTCTATGTTACCTACAATGGTCAGGTAGGAACTGCCAAACTTCTATAATGCAGAAAGCTCTAGATTTAGTAAATGGTCCACGTGGGGGAATATACGTTTTGTGTGTCTTTGGTTATCTAGTAATAAACAGTGACATCATGTGAGTTGAATGTGATGATATGTTTCTGTACCCAATCTTTTAAGAACTGCCCTAAGATGATGAAATCAAACAAGTGAAGAGATAAAGACAGTGGTTACATGATCATACAATTATGCTGTTTTCTCATGACTATCTAATTAAAAATATTGAATAATTTTTAATGAATAAGTAGGGCTTGTATAACATTTTATACTTATGGGTTCCCAAAGACTAATAGAGGATGCTTATCAGCAAGGGGAAGAACGGGAAAGACACACTCAAAGACAGGACACAGTTTAAATAGAGGGAAGAATAATGTAATAATTTCCACATCTTAACTTTTTTTTCCCCTCAGGAGCATGATATCAATTTTGATGAACATGGAATGATGGTACTGGGCTGTGGTCCATATCACATTGGTAAAGTGATAACATATTTACAAAGGCCTTTTCAGTTTCATCCATGTTAATTCCATTCTAAGAACTATGTAAACCAAATGCTGTCATAATAAAAATTTTACAAATTAGGAAACAGAGGTTCAGAGACATGTAGCCCAACTTATACATCTATTAAGTGGTAGAAGTAGGACTCAAATGTGGGTCTCAACCACAGATGCCATCTTCTTTCATTTTATCATGTCATCCCTTTATCATTTTCATCCTCATGAACTAAATTGAGCCTCTTACTGGGGTTGGGGAATGAATTACACTTTGACTTTTTCTCTTCCCGCATAGTTTTTCACAAAGATCTATATTTGCTCAAGAACTTTATACATCAGCCAGTAATTATATTTGTAGACCCTTTGTCTGACCTAACATATGACTTGTGTTGACATTAGATGCAAAGAGCTCTTCTCTTTGGGGCACAGGAAGAGTATTACATAATTTAATTAAAACATTCTCACGAGAAATTGTTATATTTCTCCTAGTCATTTAAAACTGAATATTTAATAATGAATCAAGATCTATTACAGTTACAAAGTATATATTTAAATAGACAATGATGTTTCTTAATAAGTATATCTAACATTTTGTCTCTGCAAGGTCTTCTAATATGGAAATGATGAAATATATGATTTAAGTGTATGTGGTCTTGTTTTGTTACTTTAAGCGTAGTTTATTATAGTTTTTACAATTAACTAAGTGCTTTAGGATATGGTAGTTTGCCAATTTTTGGCCAGATCTTAAAGTAGGTCAAAAGTATTTATACCTTTGCCACTTCAGTTATCTTATGGCTAAATGGTCTGGACGCCTTCACCAGGATCTACCCTTCTCTTCTCGAAACCTTTATGCAACAATTCTACATTACTTTAGGGCCTAGGAAAGATTAGCTGAGCTGATAATCAAGTGCATACTTAATTGATAGTGAGATTTAACATGCTACTATATTTGGACAACTTATTATTCCGTTAAGAATTTTTAGGAGACAAAGTCCTAATGCAAAGGATTAGTACAAATCCCAGAACTTTCAGTTCTATGGCATCCCAGTAGAGGTGATATTTTGAGGCATTTAGGCCATTATTATACTTCAGATTACTTCCTAGAAGGTCGCTCACTCTGCATGGGGTGGCCTTGCCAAGCTTAAAATGATATGCTTGGAAAGGCCAGGGCTTTCCAATCAATCAAGATATGTCAGAGCTGCAAGTCACCTCAGGGATCATTGGGTTTGGCCCTCAGACAACAGGGTAAGTGGAAGGACTGAAATAAGAACTCAAGTATTTTGATCTCTAACTTAACTACTTTTGTGTACTGAGGTCAATATGTTCACTTTGAGTTTCTTTTCAGTAAATGAGGTTTTTAAAATTATTATTACAGTTATCTCCCATTAACTTTCAGATTCTGAATGCTTTGAATATGGAGATTACCTCTTGCAGAATTTAGCATACAAAACAAGCCAACGTGTCGTAGTTTAATTAGTCCCTGTTTTTACTACTAATAATATAGTGTGCATAATAGATCTCACCTTTATATTTTGGAGTTTTAAAAATTGAATTGAAAGGGCATTAGCTCCCTTAGCCTGGACTGATTGGCAATATTTTTCTGCTTCTCTTTGTGCGGTAACTTCAGGCTTCTCTTCCCCGCTTTCCCTAATCTCATGGTCTCTGCAGGCAGCAGCGTGGAATTTGATTGGTGCGCTGTCTCCAGTATCCGCACTCTGCGTCAGCTTGGCAAGAAGACAGTGGTGGTGAACTGTAACCCCGAGACCGTGAGCACAGACTTTGATGAGTGTGACAAACTGTACTTTGAAGAGTTGTCTTTGGAGAGAATCCTAGACATCTACCATCAGGAGGTAAAAAAAAAAAAAGAGAGAGAAAAATATATGCAGTGCATACTTTATATATGTGTATTCATGTATGTAGACTTACATTGTCATTCCCCTTAGGAGAAAGAGCTGCCGGTGTCTTCCATTGTCTAATTTCGTAGTGAAACTCTAAAAAGAATCACTAGCCTTAGATTCTGGAGGCCCTGGCACAGAGTAATTATTTTTCATATAAAATTCACTTTTTCTTTCTAAGCATTCTAGCTCTACTGAAAATTCTTCTTGGTAACATGTGCCCGATACATATTAATTAGCACAAGACAGCCCCAATAAATATTCTGCAAAATGATTTAATTGGTCATGTAGACATATGATAAGCAGCCGAGTCTCTCTAGTTCACGTGCTGTTGCAGTTTAATGATGACCAGTTCTCAGAGGAGACAGTCATTCGTTCACAGAGGACTGGTTAATTCTTTATGCTATCAGATGAAGCCAGTAGTCTTCAATTTAAAATCAGTGAGTTCATTCTGAATGATTTTGGTGCCTTTATAGCTTGCTCTTAAGTAGCTCTTCCATCTCCACTCCAATATTATTGAGTGTATCTTCACTATGGATTTATATGATCCCAGGTTACTGTAAGTCTGTAGAACAAGTTAGCTTACAATTAAAAAAATACCTATTTGGGGCTTCCCTGGTGGCGCAGTGGTTGAGAGTCCGCCTGCTGATGCAGGGGATGCGGGTTCGTGCCCCGGTCCGGGAAGATCCCACATGCCACGGAGCGGCTGGGCCCGTGAGCCGTGGCCGCTGAGCCTGCGCGTCCGGAGCCTGTGCTCCACAATGGGAGAGGCCACAACAGTGAGAGGCCTGCGTACCGCAAAAAAAAAAAACCTACTTGAAAATTTTAGAGTGATGTCCAATAGTTGTGCCTTTTGATGTTATTGTAATTCATTTCCTACTACAGAGAATCATCCCTATGTACAAAATATGGTCACTTAAGGAAAAAAATATTCTAACTTGGAGCTGCAAGACTTAAATTGTTGACTTGAAAATTCATTTTTTTTGGCCAGTTATATAAATTCTCTGGGCTTCATCTTTTTTTTGTTTATGAATCATATGAGTGTTTAAATGTTCTACATGCAGGTATTGTGAAGGCAACATGAGATTTGTAGTTGAGATCACATTGTCAAGTATAAAGTATTGTGCTAGAACAATGTAATGATTTTATTATTATGAAGAAAAATGTAGACAAATTTAAGATTGATGTATCATCATGTTTTTCTATCAATATTTAGGCCTGGCCTACTAATATTGTAATATAATGAAACTGAACCATTAGGTAGAATATACACAATTTTTAGTTCTCTCTCTGACCTGATTTTTCTAATGATTTTTTAATTCATTTTAGACACATAAGTGGGGATCAAAACAAGTACATTCTGCAAATATTTCTTGAATACCTTTTAAAAATCAGGTTCAGCAGGATAGAGACCTATAAAACCAGGTCCCTACCTTTAAGACATTAAAATAAAGCTGGAATCCATGACGTAATATGTGAAAAGTTACATAATTGTTTTAAAAATGTTAACAAGCATTACAAGCAATAGCAGCAGGCATTTTACACATAATTAATTATTTCCCCATGAAATGGTTTAAGGAAAGATGAAAAACTTCTACAACTGCCTTTGGATGCAGTTACATATGGATGATAATGAGGTCCTTTTACTATAACTGAATTCAGTATGATAGAAATAAATAAATTGGCCCTATTTGAAGCTAATTGGTTTTTATAGTGCTACTAGATATAATAAGGTAATTGTAAATGTCATGTTGAAGAACATAAGAACAATATGCCATTGATGTATCCTTTAAACTACCCCACAAGAAATGTTATATATCATATGCACATATCATACACATATGTACATATATTTGTGTATGTGTTCCCTTGTATAAGGTTGTTGTGTGTCTCCTCACAGCAGGCTTTACAAGCATTGTCTCTCATACTGGCTGTGCCTCAACCTTCGGAAGGCTGCCCTTATTTGACCTCGGATGCCCCTAGAGATTCTGAAGGCACTGAGGCATTCAGCTGTAAATTTGCGGAAAATTGGAAGCACGTCTAAACTTATTTAAAAGCACACATTTGAGTCACTTAGAAGGGCAATAGGCTTTCCCAAGGATACATAGCTACATGGGATGATAGAAAGTATGATAGGTCCCTTGGTCCAGGTCTCTTGGTCTAGTTCAGGAGCAAGCCTGTTTCCATGGAATCAAAGAAGCACCTCTAAAGAAACCATTAAGGGGAAGTCAGAAAAGTGACATGGCCTGTGAGTAAAGCAGGCTGCTTTGGAGGGAGGTCTTGATCAGAAGTTGAGTGAGAGGAGATACTAGAAATGCCAAAATCTCCTTCCCACTTGTTCTTTTTTTTTTTTTTTTTTTTTAAGAGAAAATGTTATAGCGATATATCCCTTTGGCTGCAGACATTTTTTTTTTAACTTTATAAAGAGCAACCCTTTAAACTGAAGTCATTAATTCCTTATGACTGTGCTCATGAGTTCTGTTCCCTGAGAAGAGATTTGCATTTTTATCTTTTATGTTTTGGTGTGTGAGTGTGGTACATATACACAATGGAATATTACTCAGCCATAAAAAGGAATGAAATTAGGTCATTTGTAGAGACGTGGATGGATCTAGAGACTGTCATACAGAGTGAAGTAAGTCAGAAAGAGAAAAACAAATATCATATATTAACGCATATATGTGAAACCTAGAAAAATGGTACAGATGAACCAGTTTGCAGGGCAGAAGTTGAGACACAGATGTAGAGAACAAACGTGTGGACACCAAGGGGGGAAAGCTGCGGGGGTTGGGGGTGGGGGTGTGATGAATTGGGCGATTGGGATTGACTTGTATACACTGATGCGTATAAAATGGATGACTAATAAGAACCTGCTGTATAAAAAAATAAATTAAATACAATTCAAGTATTCAAAACAAACAAACAAAAATACCAGGCAACATATTTGACACCTTATGATGTCCCTGTCTGATTTGAGTCCTGATTATACAATTTTTCTTGCTTTTATGATGTATAATTTACTGGATCATACCCCATAGATATGTACTCTACTTAATGATATAATTCTCCTATTTTTAACACCTAATACCATATGTATATGTAGACAATCGTACCTCTACTACAACTTGAGTTAAGTGAATGAAAGAGTGACAGACATTAATTAGTGACAGGCAAAACCCATCAGGTAATGCATCACTCTAAACCAGGATTGCAGTTCATTCCTAGCATTTGGTTTAATTGTAATTAAGTATAAGCTTAAGATTCTGTCTGAAATGTTAAAAATGTTTTACTAAAATGCAAATTACTAAAAAATAGTGCATGATCAACCTCACTGACAGAATATAAATAGTGGAGGCTTGTAAATTAGAGATAATGCATGAAATTACAAAAATCAAGGCTATTTTTTGATGGAGTAAATGCCATTTCTGTTAGTAAGACAAGTTTTCTTACATTGTATTCTGTCAATAATACAGCATTTAATTTGTTTATAAAAATAAGGACTGACCAAAGAGATTAGTGGCTAAGGGAAATTGAGATGTTCTCAAATAAATTTGAAGAATTTTCTTTTCATTCCTCACTGCTAAAAATAAATTTCAGGTTAAAGATTATTTCAGAAATGTTTTTGTGCAGTGATACCTTAGCTTTGTGATATCAGGTTTAAAACACTAAGAAACTAAGCTGGGTAAAAATACTACAAACAAATCTAGGTAACATCGGTAGAACTTTGGGACACTAATGGAATTACTTTAGGCCTAAAGTATTTGGAAATCTGGGAAACAAATCTGAATTTTAGAATATTTTATTTCAGAAAGTTACTTGAAACTATTTGTGTGATTGTATCAATATGTATGATAATAATTTATCTGTGTGGGATACCAGATCCTCTTCCCTAAGTCCCTACAAGTTCTGTGCTTGGAGTTGGGGCCAATTTAAGATAAAATTCTTCCACAAAACTCTCATCTATTAACTTCATCCCATAAATGTTCTCTTCTACTGAATTCTCTTTGCTGTACAGGCAAAACCTGCACAAACCATCACACCATTACTCTAAAACATTCCTATGGATGTGATTTGTCTTTCAAATGATGGTCTTTATTTCTGGAGGTCAATGACGAGAATAGGGTTTTGCAGTGAATGTTTTTCTATCTACCACTTTCCAAAAAGAGTGTTTTAGAAATTGCTCTTCTACTAACTTCTAACATTCACTACCTTTGAAACCAGCCAGAAAAAACAGGGTTAGCTTCAGATTCAAAGATTTGGTATATTAAGTAAGCATAACTGCTTTACAATACGTAGAATTGAGTTCAAGTAAGTCTGTATTTGCTAGATGAGAAAAATGCGCAAGTCATTTCACCTTCACCAAGCCTCAGTTTATTTAACTGCAAAATGGGGATAGTAATAACTGCCTCAAAGTGATACTTTGACCATGAAAGTCAAAACATCGTCTAGGGTATACAGTAATCTGTATGTACAGTACTAAGTAATGTACTTAGTAAATAGTAGCAGTGCATATTATTATTGTTTTTAAATGTGTTGATTTATTGAAAAATAAAAATCAATTCCATAGAGTTATTTTTGAAAATATTGATATATTTATTACTTAGAGCCTTTTTATTCAACTGTAAGTACCTATTTAGTCTAATTGACTCTGATATTTGCTAACTGGCTACTTCTCCCTTAATTTTAGAATTTATTTTGAAGTCTTTCACATAAGAGACTTTTCTATATATTTAATTGAGGAATTCATTTCTAGGCTTCTAAAATATTAATGCTGCTAATAAACTAAAAATAATAAGCAAATAAAAATACTATAGTTAAGAGAATAATATTTATTAAAGGTTTTGCAAAAAGTGGTTATTGAACATAAAAAATGACGATAAAAGCAGTTTAAGTGTACTTATAAATATGCAGAAATGTGGACTGTTATTTTCCATAATGTTTACAATGAATTTAAGCACTCAATTGCAGGGTGTTTGCTTAAGCAGTACGTAATTTCTCTTATCAGAGAGAAATGAGCTTCATCCCTTTAAAAAATACTTCAGAATAACTTCAAATAATGACAAAATACATTTGGCACATATGTATTACTTCAGCAACATTCATTAGTAGGTCATTAAAGCAAACACAAATTACGCCCAGATCAATGGCCTATCAGATATTGTAATATTTTCTAATATAAATAATAGTGTCTTATTTATAACTTATAATGTAGTAACACCTTTAATGTTTATTATCTTATTTGAACTACATACATAGGAACCTTATGAAGTAGGCAGGTATTATCCTAATTTTACAGACAAGAAGATTGAACCTCAGGGAGAGTTTCACGGAGGGAACCAAGAAGAGGAGGGACTTAAGTCCAAACCCAATTCCCCACCATCCCTCTTTGGCTCACCCTCACCTCTATACCACTAGTCTCAAGAACATTTGAGATTTGGTGGGCTTTTAAGAAAAAAATCTTGGAGTTTTGACTGCTCATAGGAGATTAAGTTTAACGATTCAGGGACTGCTTGTAAGGCAAATAGTAAGGAAATAGGAATTAAAACGAGTTCTGGGTACTGTAGACAGGTACCAAGCAGCAGTAAAGGACGCAGGATGTCACAGTGAGAGGTAGGATTTAGACTGGACTTTAGGGATGGTTAGAAAATTGATAAGGGAAAGGAGAAGGGAGAAAGGAAACAGGCAGGGAAAGATTACGTGGAGGTGAGAAAGCTTGCTGGTGGGAATGCACGAAGGTGGGGACAGTGGGTAGGTAGTTTTCCTGGGGCTGACAGAAGTGACCATAGATACGACTGGAAAGTCTTGATGGCCCCAGTGGTAATGAGTTAACACTATATCCTTTAGGCAAAGGAAACCTTTGGAGAACTCCGAGTATAGGAGTAACTTGGTGAAGCAGTCCTTTGAATGATTAATCTGAATGTGAAGTGCTGGGGTGGAGAGGAACAGCAGAGGGGAATGTTAAAAGGAGAGATCTGTATCCGTTTAAGAAATTACAACAGTAGTTCAAGAATTAGTTGATTATAATGTAAAGTACAGGATGGAAATGTTCATTGACTTAATTTTCTTTTAATTGCCACACATGCAAATGTCACACGTTTACATGCAGCTGTATGGAAGTCGTGCACGGTAATCACGTGTAGTTTTATGGGAGTCTTACATGGTTATCATGTGTAGTTAGTTGTATGGGAGTCTTACAAAGACTTTAGCAGGTAAGTGCCTGGAAAGTCAGGACTAAATCCGTTTACCTCTTTGTGGCATAACAATATATTCATTGATGGGAATAATGAAAATATCACAGTCATGTTCATTCAGCATTCTCAGGAAGGCAACAGAGGCAGTATTAGCACAGTTGTTCATTATCCAGTGGCTGATGTCGAGGACATATTTTTCAGGCATGTGGTGGCTGTATCATATCAGTCGGGGGCCAGATTCCAAACAACCTGGCAGTCCCCCTGTACAAGAACGGTGTCAAGATCATGGGCACGAGCCCTCTGCAGATCGACAGGGCTGAGGATCGCTCCATCTTCTCAGCTGTCTTGGATGAGCTGAAGGTGTCTCAGGCACCATGGAAAGCTGTTAACACTTTGGTAAGGAGAGAAACACGAGTCTGTTTTTAATGTTCCATTTTGAAGAGTCATAACCTGAACGTTAACTACTGCAGATGCTAACTGCAGGGCACAGAGGATGCACTATGCTCAGTGAATTTACTTTAAAGTTGCTGAGTTTCCATGATTGCAGTTAAATGCTGGTTATAAATTGATAGGAGTATTCTCACTGATTCCAACAATGAAAAGAAGTTCAAACTATTTTTGAACTAGCTTGATATTTAGAATTAGAAACTAGAAGTTTTATGTATTTTGGTGTCCAGTTTACATTTTAGTGGTGTCTTTTGGGAGAAAGAATAAAAGGAGTTGGGTTACCACTTGTTCTAACGATACCATTCTGCATTTTTATTGAATATTTTAAACTATTCATGCATTTTGTTGTTGTTGTTTCTATTAATTAGAATGAGGCATTGGAATTTGCGAAGTCAGTGGGCTACCCCTGCTTGTTGAGACCTTCCTATGTTTTGAGGTAATATATTGTTTTCTAAAACTATTATTTAAAAGTCAGGAGACACAGAACTGCATTCTGTATGCTAACAGCACTAGGCTTTGATGTGTAGTAATTTGTAAATCCATCCACAATCCCCATACCAACACAGCCAGAGTGAAGACCTGTGCACAGTTCTTCAGCCTAATGCTTTTCCTTCAGGGAGTGACAACACAGTGTCTCCAATCCTACATCTTAGGAGCATGGCTTAGGGCATCTCCTTGCCAAATGGAGGAGGATAGCTTTACATTAGAGAAGAGGACAATTTAAAAAAACAAAGAGCAAAAACAAAACAAAACAAACTTGGGATATCTCTCACCAGCATCTGTTCTCTGATACCCAGAAATGACAGCTTATCTTTGACTGTTGTCAGCACCTTCCGATGGTGCCTATGGTTTGAATATTTTTTTTTTGAGATTAGATTTTTTAAATAAATGAATTACAATGTTGGAGTTCATGGACAGTGTCTTTTATAATAAACTTTGAAACTAAGTTCTGTCATCAAAGTAGAAGTCGTCAATTGTCACTCTCTTCAGATGTTACCACGTATAAAGAGCTACTTCACTGAACAGGGGATAATAAGAGAAACGTAATTTGTTGTGCACAATTTGAAAGTGTAAATGGAATGTGAGATGGGATCCTTTAAAATAATGAAAAATTTCAAGTGAGGTGGGAAACTTTCCTTTTTCTTTAAGTGACATTCTGTGTAAACCACAGTCCAATACTACTGCTTCTCTGAGGTATTAATGTACGTTAATTTAAACAACACAGGCACTTAAGGGGGGGTCGCTCTGACTACTGTGCTCCCTCACATCATTGCAATCCGTATCTTTCCTTTAGTTCCCTATACTGTGAATTATCAGCGTCATTAGGACCTTAGCCTTCATGTCTTAAATAGATGAAGAAATTGAAAGCTCTTCAAGCATAAAATTTGCAATATAGTTGAAAAGGTAAAGAAAAAGTTACTTTTAAAAGGAAGTGGAAAGTGATATTTTTCTTCCTTATTTCTTCCCTTCTGCTTAGTCTTCCTTCTTTCCTTCCCTCCCATCCCACTCTGAAAATGCCAAAATTCAGAGTAGATTTCAGATAGTATTCTTTCTCAAGAATTTGAAAGGACACAGCTGAATACATTTCAGTCAGATACCGTACATTATATTTGCAAATGTTACTAAAATGTTGATTCTTTGGTAACCCAGCTGAGATAGTAGAATGACCTGCTTTGACAGCATACTTGTGGGTTAAGATCAGCTATGGGTAATGAACTCTGAAGACACAAGTTTAGAAAGCTAGATCCTGGGATGAATCCTGTTACAGTATAAATATTACCTGGAACCAGAAGAGAGTTAAAACAATCAGAAAGGCTGGACCTTGGGGATGTGCCATCGCTAAGAGCTACCATGGTTCTCTTTGGGCATTATCACGTATCCCACCCCCCTTCCTTGTCCCCAACTTTGGGGACCTTTTACTTTGGTTGATTGTCCTGTTGATTACATAAAGTCTCAATGTAGAAAGAGACACCTTCTTACTTAGCCTAGTCTGGAACTAGAGGTTGCCTGGAACTGTTCTGAGAAGTGATCAATTCTAGCATGCTTTACTTCTGAAGTGGTAAAAGAAACTGACCTCTTTTTTTTCCCCCTCCTTACCCAGTGGGTCTGCCATGAATGTGGTATTCTCCGAGGATGAGATGAAAAAATTCCTAGAGGAGGCCACTAGAGTCTCTCAGGTAGTGTCCTATTTCCTTCTGGTGACTTTTACCTTTTCTGTTAATTGCTACCTTGTTTTTATGTTGTTTTTCTTTGCACAGGATGTTATGATGTTTTTCCTTTTTTCTTCTACCCATTATAGTCCTAAATATAGAAATGAGAAAACACACATGCATTTAATTATATTTGGATCCTTAGGGTTAGTGGAAGAAGAGGAAGACCAGTGAATATTTGATCAGAACAGAGATTTATACGATTTTAGTCTCCAAGAGCAAGGCTGCATAAGCACAAACTTGTCTGTTAATGAATTAGATGCTGGTCAAGTTATCCATGGGATTCCCAGCCTCAAGGGCAGCCCAACCATTGTCATCACGAACAAGTGAAGGCTTCCCTGATTTTTAATTCTCACACCTGGAGAGCCTTTCTTTGCCTTAGTCAATCCCGCAACTTCAATAGTAAATCCCCTCACTCACCTATTGATTTTTTTCATTTTGGTACATTCCATTTGTAAGTTAATAAAAATGTTTATAATTCTGTGTTCACTCAACCAGCTTTCTCCACTGCCCCAGCTTTTACTTTCTCCTTCGGCGTTACCTGAGTGCAATCCATTTAAGATTTACCCAGTGGGGTTATTGATCTGCAGACCTTGTACTGTAGAGGATAAAAGTAATGTTTTCTTTTTAAAAGCTTTCAAAAGCTAGATAGGGCTAAAAGAAAAAAAAAGAGGAGAGAGAGAGAGAAAACACAACTCATAGAGAAGAGTTTGATGTTAGGCAAGTGGAGTTTGGAGGGAGCCAAAGAGTGAAATCAGAGGCATTTGAAAGAGGAATAAAGAGCATGAACTGTTCCTGCACACATGAAGCTGGGCTTTGTTTCTGCGTGGCAGTTGCTCCCCAAGGAAATTTGGTCAGTGAAAAGAGTGCATAAGGATAAAGAGTGAGAAGAGACAGAGTATAAAAAAGAAACCAAGTGGATTTTGAATTCACTTTTGTGTGAAAGTCAGATAACTGAGGAGGGACTCTCTCCAAAGGGCCAGTTTTCATTAATGTGCTCTGGAGTGAGATACTGTCCTCTTCTCTATCTCACTCCCTGCACGGGGTCCTGCCACACTCATCTTTTGAGAAACCAGCAGCCTGACCCAGCTGGTCTCATGTGAGTGATGAGGCAGGTGTTCTCTGTCTGGGACAGTGTATCTTATAGGGCCTCTACTTGGTAGAATATTTTTTAAATATTTTTTTTCCGCTAGCAGGTGGATAGAATCCTTACAGGGCCAAAGTTTTATAATAGAGATGTCTTAATGGAGTACTTCTGGTTCAAGTCTCCCCATCACACTACAGCAGAATCTGGGATTCTCAATTCAGTGAATCTAGAGTAAAACTAGCCCCCATTAATCATTGATCTATTTATGTATCCATTCATATTTAGCACCTGCTATATAATGACATTGTTCTCAGTATCAGGGGTTACATTCATGGAAAGATAGTCTGACAGAGGACTCTCTTTACTAGGGACATCAGACATCAAATAATTATAATTAAATATGGTGAGCATTGCAATAGAGAAAATACATGATGTTGAAGGAGAGTGTAAAAGTATCGGGGTCCAGTCCTTGAAGAAGGGACTTTTAAATTGATTCCAAATGGTTGATTCAGAGTTAAAAGGTTTACATTGTGTGTGAGTAGGAAGAAAGAACAGCATATGTAAAGGCCTGAAGCTGAGAAAGAGCATGAAGTTTCTAGAAACTGATAAAGCATTCATTTATATGGCTAGGATGCCAAACATGGTGGGGAGTGTTGATTATAACGATGGTAGAAAAGCAGAAAGACAAGGAGCAGATAAAGAGAACCTTGTCAGTTATACACTGAGGTGGATTTTAGTCATATTTTCTGAATACTGAATCACTATGCTGTATACCTGAAACTAACACAATAGTGTAAATCAACTATACTTCAACTAAAAAAAAAAAGAGCAATTGAAAGTTAAAAAAAGAAAGGTCACTCTTCTATAGTATAGAGAGTAAAATCTGGGACAAGTCTGAATTCATGGAAGGAGGTTAGGGGGCTGTTGTGTAGCTCAGGGTAGAGATGACAGTGCCTTGGATCAGAGTAATGGTAGTAAAGATGGAGAGAAGTGCATGTGTTCTAGAAATATTGAGAATGTGTATTGAGGTTGTGAATGGATGGAGGTGGAGGGTGAGAGAGGATAAGAGATGATTCTTGAGTTTCTGCCTTAGACAGCTGGATGGACAGTGGTACCATTTATTGAAACAAGGAACACTTAAGGGAGAAATTTTAGAGGGGGAAATCATATATGTAATATTTGACCTTTTGAGTGTGAGATGCCTGTGAGAAGTCCAAGTAGAGATGTTCTGAAAGCAGAAGGTTACGGAATTGAAGATCAAGATCGTGGCTAAAGACAGAGATGTAGATATAGATTTGGAAGTCAATAGCGTATCATTGTAATTGAAGTTTTGAGATCACCTGGGATAGTATAGAGGAAAAGGAACAGTTAAGGACAGAGATGAAAGGAATACTGGCATTTAATAGCTGAGCAGGGAAGAAAGAACCACAAAGGAGCCTGAGAAAGAAGTATGGAAAGGTGATCATGGACACCTAAGGAAAGAAGTGCTTTAAGAGGGCCAACAATGTATAATGTTGCTGAAAGACTGAAATTTATTAAGAAATTTTCTTCCTCAACATATTAAGGGCTATTTCATCAATGTGTTCAGTTGGCCAGGATGGAGGATGCTGTTGTTGCCCCCCTTAGATCTCTTTACCAGTGGGGGCACCCATCCCCCAACTGCTGTGGTAGGTGATGACACCTCCCAGCTATACTTCTCAGGATAACTATTCTCAGTCAAGTGGGAGCCTCTGTCAACCAGGAGGCGAGATCCCTCACCTTACCGCCACGCTCAAAATGCTGGACAGTGACTGCCCTTTGCCTCAAGATGGGACTTACTCTGTACTGCGACTCAGACCTCCCTCTGTGGTAAGGCCAAATCCAGTCCCCACTGAGACCACGAACTTCCTAGTTTTTTCCTGCTGCCCCATCCTGCTTTTCTCACTCCCTCAACAAATCACTTGAACAAGAACCCCTGTGTTAGGCTTGGCTAGAGAGACTAAGACAGCTGTTAAACTTTATCTTTGTTTGCAGTTACATTGTTATTATAATATACAGAAAAATTCCCACGTAAGTCTCAACACAGCTCTACCAGGCCTGCCAACAGTAAACATCCAATATTTTAAAAAAGGGGAAACAGAGATGAAAAAAATTTTCCATGTCCGATAGGCCTTTGAAGAAAAGGAAGTGGGTAAAATTTCTTCATTTAATAATAAATTTAAGAAGAGAGAAGCTTATTTATGGCTTGAGACATTGGTTATGTTGAATTTTTTTACAAAATTCATTTCTATTTAAAATGTTCTGTTAAAGGATATAAGATATATTACATTTTTTTAACTTTTTATTTTATACTGGAGTATAGTCGATTAACAATGTTGTGATAGTTTCAGGTGCACAGCAATGGGACTCAGCCATACATATGGCTGTATCCATTCTCCCCTAAACTCCCCACCCATCCAGGCTGCCACATAACGTTGAGCAGAGTTCCCTGTGCTGTACAGTAGGTCCTTTTTGGTTATCCATTTTAAATACAGCAGTGTGTACATGTTGATCCCAAACTCCCTGACTATCCCTTCCCCCCATCCTTCCCCCCTGGTAACCATAAGTTCGCTCTGTAAGTCTGTGAGTCTGTTTCTGTTTTGTAAATAGGCTCAGTTGTGTCATTTCTTTTTAGATTCCACATGTAAGGCATATCGTACAATATTCCTTTCTCTGTCTGACTTACTTCAGTCAGTATGACAGTCTCAAGGTCCATCCATGTTGCTGCAAATGGCATTATTTCATTCTTTTTAATGGCTGAGTAATATTCCATTGTATAAATATACCACATCTTCTTTATCCATTCATCTGTCAATAGACATTTAGGTAGCTTCCATGTCTTGGCTATTGTAAACAGTGCTTCAGTGAACATTGGGGTGCGTGTATCCTTTTGGGCCATCTTTTTCTCCAGATATATGCCCAGGAGTGGGATTGCAGGGTCATATGGTAGCTCTATTTTTAGTTTTTTAAGGAACCTCCATACTGTTCTCCATAGTGGCTGCACCAATTTACATTCCCACCAACAGTGTAGGAAGGTTCCTTTCTCTCCACACCCTCTGCAGTATTTATTGTTTGTGGATTTTTTGATGATAGCCATTTTGACTGGTGTGAGGTAATATCTCATTGTAGTTTTGATTTTCATTTCTCTAATAATTAGCGATGTTGAACATCTTTCCACGTGCCTCTTGGCCATCTGTATGTCTTCTTTGGAGAAATGTCTAGTTAGGTCTTTTGCCCATTTTTTGATTGGGTTGCTTCTTTTGATGATATTAAGCCTCATGAGCAGTTTGTAAATTTTGGCGACTAATCCCTTGTCAGTCACATCATTTGCAAATATTTTCTCCCAATCTGTAGGTTTTCTTTTCGTTTTGTTTATGGTTTCCTTTGCTGTGCAAAAGCTTTTGAATTTAATTAGGTCCCGTTTGTTTATTTTTGCTTGTATTTTAGATATATTTAACACATATGCATAAGATGATAAACTCCAAGGTAGTGGCCAAAAGGAGTTAGTGTTCAGAGCAAAAAGACATGTTCAGAGAAGCCTTCAGGGAGGAGGTGGCATTGAAGCTAGGCCTTGAAGGATGGGTTGAAATTTGAAAGATGAAGCTGAGGAGAGAAGGTGGAGTGCATTTGTGGAAGAGAGGCATGGAGACAGGTAAAGGCAGGGTCTGGTAAGAAAACAGCAAGTGGTGCCGGTTGCTGGTGCCTGGGGCAGGGGAGAAGAGATGCCTAAACCCTGGAGGCCTTCATTCAACCACTTCTTTTAGTCTGGAGAAGCACCTAGTGATCAAGCTGCGGAGGGCATTGCAGCACTGTCGTGAAGGAACTGAGTGTGGGAAGAACATCAAGAATAATAAGGGGTCTGAAACAGCTGAGAGAGGGAGAACATTTTAAGATTTATATAGAAAAATGTTTGATTTTGCAGTCACAAATGTCACACTTTAGAAGTGATTTAAAGCATGTCGATTCCATGTAAATAATTCCATCTTTGGCCTAATAGAACTGAAACAAAATGCTGCTCTCCTAAGTTCATTCACAATTCTCATACAGAGAACTAACTGAGGGCATTGTAGTGCTTAGAAAAGATAAGTGTAGGAAGAGAGGAAAAACCTGAACCAATATTGATATATAATTATAAATAAAATAGAGAGATATTTATAACTCTGGAGAGACAGAAAAGCAACCTCATTCTGCCCTCTCCTTAGCCTCCTCTTTTCTCTAACTCACCTAGAAGTCGATGTTTGAAATTTCAAAACTCATGTTCAATTCACTGAGAACTGAAAATTGGAGAAAGATTTCCTCTTCCTCACTGTTAGCAGAGAATGACCGTGTTCTTACCAAACAAACTGGCTAATGAGTTTGTGTAGTATGTTGAGCATTGTTTTTTTTTTCAAGTATTGCCGTGGTACTGACTTAAGGTACACGATTTACTTGACCCCATACATGTAACTTCAGCTAAAGTTTCTGCCCTTCTGTTTTCCTCGGTGACAGGAACACCCAGTGGTGCTGACAAAATTTATTGAGGGGGCCCGAGAAGTGGAAATGGATGCTGTTGGCAGAGATGGAAGAGTAAGTGCTTTATCTCCCACCCCTTCTTCCTGCCTTCCCATCAGAATTTTTTTCTTGGCAATTTAGAAACGTAACTCAGATTAGACTTCGTGATTTCTACAAAACAGATCTCTAAAAATAATGGACAAGTCTGCTCAGCCAAAAAAATTGTTCCATTTCACTGACAATTCAGTTGATGTGTCATGGGTATCATATCTTCTGCTTTTCATACTGTTAGATTTTCTCTTTGATGGTATTAAAAATTATCATCCTGTACTCGTCCTTTTTGAATAGATTTTCTCTCTCATTTTCTTTTGTCTTGGTGTTTCCTTTTTTATTTCAATGGATATTAGAAAAACATCCAATACTTTTCTTTCTGAAGTTCCTAATTGAATCCCTAGTTTTTCTTCTCTCTTGATTTTTCCATCCTTCTCCTTTTTATTGGGTTAATAAAAGCAAAACTAAACGGAGTAGGGTGGGTAAAGATAATAACATAAAATTGGCTTACCATATCACATCTTGTATCACTAATACAATGAATGCCTCAAACTTCAGGGAGAAATGAAAGTATAAGAATTCTTTCCTTTAGTTTTCAAGTTGTACTAATAAAGCATGTTAAAGCTTTTTTTGTTTTGGTCTTTTTTTTTTTTTCCAGATTAACAGTTCAAATCAAGGTTGTTTCAAAACAATACTATATATATAGTAAGGATGACCTCTTATCCTATAATCTAGAGTTTAAGCACCCTTAGATATCATTTATTTCAACCCCTTACTCCCCAAGGATGAGAATTTTCTTCACAGCAACCCTGGAAAGTGGTCATTTGCTTTCTGTTTAACTCTTGGTTATACAGAGCATAAAAAGTTGTAAGATGACGTATATATATTGTTTTGTTTTGGTTTTGCTTTTACTTCTTGGACATCTAATATATTCCTTCTCTTGAACTAAGGTCTGCTTCCCTAGAATTTTCATCCCTGACCTGCTGGCCTCCAGAGTTATGGAGCATATGTATATATATTCTTTCCCACTTGAACATACATGTATTTGAGACTGAGGTATAAAATAAGAGGAATGTGATCATACCAATGTGGAAGTGGAGAATGTAAGACTGGCCTACAGATATTTATGTTTTTTCAAATATTGTGCTGGTAAAGTAATGCTGGTCAGTTGGCCTGATTTGGTTCCATTTTGCTAGGATGTGCTCCTGCCCTAAGATTCTCTTAGACCTTGACCATTGCTTATCATCCTGGACTCCTTTTGGAAGTGTTCCAGGTTATTCACATAACTTTTAAACAGTCACACTCAGAAGTGGACCTAGTACTTCAGACATATAACTTTTTTTCAGAGTTCAGTGAGGTGTTGCCTCCCCATTTCTAGACAGTATAAAAAATTTGAGCACTTACTCTGCACTAAATATCATGCCAGGCACTGTTTATGTGTTCTGTTTTATCCTTACAAATATTCTGTGAGGCAGATACTATTGTTATTCCTATCTTATCAGAAACCAAGGCTAAGGAGATAAAGTATCTCACCCAGGTCACAGAACTCATAAGTGACAGCAGGAGTACCGGGACTCAAATGTCACTCTGCTTTAAATCATCTATAAATCTGATAAACAAATCTTCACTGTAATTTATTTAAGTCTTTTACAGCCACCCAATTATTCTCCCCCACTCTCAGCTTTATCATTTTCCAAAGACACACATACTGTTAACATTCAGGTTATTGTGGTTGAGACCGTAAACTTTGCAATCTGACAGATAAGTGTTCAAAATCCTGACTTGGTCACATAGCAGTCACATGTACTTGGGTTATTTATTCTTATATTGCCTTGGTTTTCTTACCTCTAAAAGAGGACAAGAATATTTTCCTCTTGCTTCCTTCCTGTCTCAAATTTCAGTTTAAAGCTCTCTTGTAGGTGGCCAGTTAGCTCAGTTGGTTAGAGTGTGGGGCTGATAAAGATCTCTTGATCTTTAGATCTTACATTTTCTTTCTGATCCATCTAAGTTATGACATTTACCTAAGCTAGATATTGACCTCTCCCATCTTTTCTTTTCCAGTGTTTAAAACTTAACCTGGAAGGAAAAGATAAAGCTATCTCCAGTGCCCCCCAAATGCTTTATTTTCCTATCCATTTTTAAAAGTCATTATGAGTTGGCTTAGTTGCCTTCTTTTCCTGGTATTAATAACTATTCTAATCAATGGAAGAGGGAGGTAAGCTTTCAGACACTCTCAGCTGCCCTTAGAGGTGATCTGTCACTGCACAGGGAGGCTTGGTGATGCTACATGTGCAGCTCTTTCTACTCCTCTCATCAGAGACTTAGCAAAGAAACTGCTCAATGCTGGAGGCATCTGTTAGAATTAGGGGGATGGGTCAGGCAGTAGATTCATTGAAGAGCTGACACTTCTTTTGCAAATCTTCTTTTGGCCAGGTCATCTCCCATGCCATCTCTGAACACGTGGAAGATGCAGGCGTCCACTCAGGAGATGCTACTCTGATGCTGCCCACACAAACCATCAGCCAAGGAGCCATTGAAAAGGTCATCATTTAGAAATAAAACTGGAAGGGGGAAAAAGATTTAAAACATTTTTTTTTAATTGGGGCTGGATTGTGAAGGGTCTTTTTTTATTATGCATTTCCTTTTTTTGTTTATAAATTTATTTATTTTATTTATTATTTTTGGTTGTGTTGGGTCTTCGTTGCCGTATGCAAGCTTTCTTTAGTTGCAGCAAGCTGGGGCTACTCTTTGTTTCAGTGCTCGGGCTTCTCATTGTGGTGGCTTCTCTTTCTGCAGAGCACAGGCTCTAGGCGCATGGGCTTCAGTAGTTGTGGCACGCAGGCTCTAGAGCGCAGGCTTGGTAGTTGTGGCGCACAGGCTTAGTTGCTCTGTGGCATGTGGGATCTTACTGGACCAGGGCTCAAACCCGTGTCCCCTGCATTGGCAGGCGGATTCTTAACCACTGTGCCACCAGGGAATCCCATTAAAAACATTTTTTTAACTAGGTAGCAGTAGGACATGCCCCAGATAAAATTTAATTTTGAGGGGAACTTCCTCCTCTGAGTCTGCTGGGTATTTTAAAGATGACAATCTCCTTCACTGCCCTTCAGAGCCCATTTGGTTGTATGCTAGTGCAGTGGTTCTCTAACTGTATGCATCATAACCACCTGGGGGACTTGTTAAAATGCAGGTTACAAGACTCCTCCCCAGTTTCTAAATCTGTAGTTCTGAGCAGGCCCCCAGAATCTGTATTATTATCAAGTCCCCATGTGATGCCATTGCTGCTGGTCTGGGGACCACATTTGGATAACTACTGCTGCAGATGATTCTAATGTTTGGGCCGCTTACAGGTGAGCAGCATCTAAAGCAATGTTTCTCAGAAGCAGGTATGCAGCAGTCACGTGAGAACTTTCTAGAACCGATGCTTTCACTGTCTGCCCTTACCCTCACCTCAAACAGCACTTTATGATATATCTCTTTCAAACCCTCTTTTGGAACCACTGCTTTAAAGACCTGTCCAGTAATAATGACTCTGCCTCAGTACTCAATATGCATGCTAGGTGTTGTCTTTGAGGCTGTCATCTTTTTTTTTTTTTTAATCAGTCAACACATGTTTATTTGTGTACATTTTTTTTAACATCTCTATTGGAGTATAATTGCTTTACATTGTTGTGTTAGTCGCTGCTGTATAACAAAGTGAATCAGCTGTACATATACATATATCCCCATATCCCCTCCTTCTGGCATGTCCCTCCCACCCTCCCTATCCCACCCCTCTAGGTGGTCACAAAGCACCGAACTGATCTCCCTGTGCTATGCAGCTACTTCCCACTAGCCATCTATTTTACGTTTGGTAGTGTATATCTCACTTCGTCTCAGCTTACCCTTCCCCCTCCCCATGTCCTCAAGTCCATTTTCTACATCTGCGTCTTTATTCCTGTCCAGCCCCTAGGTTCTTCAAAAAAAATTTTTTTTTTTTTAGATTCCATATATATATGTGTTCACATACGGTATTTGTTTTTCTCTTTCTGACTTAACTTCACTCTGTATGAAAGACTGTAGGTACATCCACCTCACTACAAATAACTCAATTTCATTTCTTTTTATAGCTGAGTAATATTCCATTGTATATATGTGCCACATATTCCTTATACATTCATCTGTTGATGTACACTTAGGTTGCTTCCATGTCCTGGCTATTGTAAATAGAGCTGCGATGAACATTGTGGTACATGACTCTTTTTGAATTATGGTTTTCTCAGGGTATATGCCCAGCAGTGGGATTTCTGGGTAATATGGTAGTTCCATTTTTAGTTTTTTAAGGAACCTCCATACTGTTCTCCTTAGTGGCTGTGTCAATTTACATTCCCACCAACAGTACAAGAGGGTTCCCTTTTCTCCACACCCTGTCGAGCATTTATTATTTGTAGATTTTTGATGATGGGCATTCTGACTGGTGTGAGGTGATACCTCATTGTAGTTTTGATTTGCATTTCTCTAATGATTGGTGACGCTGAGCATCCTTTCATGTGTTTGTTGGCCATCCGTATGTCTTCTTTGGAGAAATGTCTATTTAGGTCTTCTGCCCATGTTTGGATTGGGTTGTTTGTTTTTTAAATATTGAGCTACATGAGCTGCTTGTATATTTTGGAGATTAATCCTTTGTCAGTTGCTTTGTTTGCAAATATTTTATCCCATTCTGAGGGTTGTCTTTTTGTCTTTTTTATAGTTTCCTTGGCTGTACAAGAGCTTTTAAGTTTCATTAGGTCCCACTTGTTTATTTTTATTTCCATTTCTCTAGGAGGTGGGTCAAAAAGGATCTTGCTGTGATTTATGTCATAGACTCTTCTGCCTATGTTTTCCCCTAAGAGTTTATAGTGTCTGGCCTTACATTTAGGTCTTTAATCCATTTTGAGTTTATTTTTGTGTATGGTGTTAGGGAGTGTTCTAATTTCATTATTTTACATGTAGCTGTCCAGTTTTCCCAGCACCACTTATTGAAGAGGCTGTCTTTTCTCTGTTGTATATTCTTTGCTCCTTTATCAAAGATACGCTAACCATAGGTGTGTGGGTTTATATCTGGGCTTTCTATCCTGTCCCATTGATCTATATTTCTGTTTTTGTGCCAATACCGTACTATCTTGATTACTGTAGCTTTGTAGTATAGTCTGAAGTCAGGGAGCCTGATTCCTCCAGCACCGTGTTTCTTTCTCAAGATTGCTTTGGCTTTTTGGGGTCTTTTGTGCTTCCATACAAATTGTGAAATTTTTTATCCTAGTTCTGTGAAAAATGCCATTGGTAGTTTGATGGGGATTGCATCGAATCTGTAGATTGCTTTGGGTAGTATAGTCATTTTCAAAATGTTGATTCTTCCGATCCAAGAACATGGTATATCTCCATCTGTTTGTATCATCTTTAATTTCTTTTATCAGTGCCATAATTTTCTGCATACAGGTCTTTTGTCTCCTTAGGTAGGTTTATTCCTAGGTATTTTATTCTTTTTGTTGCAGTGGTAAATGGGAGTGTTTCCTTAATTTCTCCTTCACATTTTTCATCATTCGTTTATAGGAATGCAAGAGATTTCTGTGCACTAATTTTGGATCCTGCTACTTTACCAAATTCGTTGATTAGCTCTAGTAGTTTTCTGGTAGCATCTTTAGGATTCTCTATGTATAGTATAATGTCATTTGCAGACAGTGACAGTTTTACTTCTTCTTTTCCGATTTGGATTCCTTTTATTTCTTCTTCCTTTCTGATTGCTATGGTTAAAACTTCTAAAACTATGTTGAATAAAAGTGGTGAGAGTGGGCAACTTTGTCTTGTTCCTGATCTTAGAGGAAATCGTTTCAGTTTTTCACCATTGAGAATGATGTTGGCTGTGGGTTTGTCATATATGGCCTTTATTTTGTTGAGGGAGGTTCACTCTATGCCTAGGTTCTGGGGAGTGTTTGTCATAAATGGGTGTTGAATTTTGTCAAAAGCTCTTTCTGCATCTGTTGAGATTATCATATGGTTTTTCTCCTTCAGTTTTTTAATATGGTGTATCACATTGATTGATTTGCATATATTGAAGAATCCTTGCATTCCTGGGCTATACGCCGCTTGATCATGGGGTATGATCCTTGTAATGTGCTGCTGGATTCTGTTTGCTAGTATTTTGTTGAGGATTTTTTCGTCTATTGGCCTGTCATTTTCTTTTTTTTTTTTAACATCTTTGTATGGTTTTTGTAACAGAGGGATGGTGGCCTCCTAAAATGAGATTGGGAGTGTTCCTCCCTCTGCTATAATTTGGAAGAGTTTGTGAAGGGTGGGTGTTAACTCTGCTCTAAATGCTTGATAGAATTCGCCTGTGAATCCATCTGGTCCTGGGCTTTTGTTTGTTGGAAGATTTCTAATCACAGTTTAAATTTCAGTTCTTGTGATTGGTCTGTTCATATTTTCTATTTCTTCCTGGTTCAGTCTTGGAAGGTTGTGCATTTCTAAGAATTTGTCCATTTCTTCCAGGTTGTCCATTTTATTGGCATAGAGTTGATTGTAGTAATCTCTCATGAGCCTTTGTATTTCTGCAATATCAGTTGTTACTTCTCCTTTTTCATTTCTAATTCTGTTGATTTGAGTCTTCTCCCTTTTTTTTCTTGATGAGTCTGGTTTATCAATTTTGTTTATCTTCTCAAAGAACCAGCTTTTAGTTTTATTGATCTTTGCTATCGTTTCCTTCATTTTTCTTTTTCAGTTATTTCTGATCTGATCTTTATGATTTCTTTCCTTCTGCTAACTTTGGGGGTTTTTTTGTTCATCTTCCTCTAATTGCTTTAGGTGTAAGGTTAGTTTGTTTATTTGAGACGTTTCTTGAGGTAGGACTGTATTACTGTAAACTTCACTCTTAGAACTGCTTTTGCTGCATCCCATAGGTTTTGGGCCACCGTGTTTTCATTGTCATTTTTTCTAAGTATATTTTGATTTCCTCCTTGATTTCTTCAGTGATCTCTTGTTTATTTAGTAGCATATTGTTTAGGCTCCATGTGTTTGTATTTTTTACAGATATTTTTCCTGTAATTTATATCTAGTATCATAGCGTTGTGGTCAGAAAAGATACTTGATACGATTTCCATTTTCTTAAATTTACCAAGGCTTCATTTGTGACCCATGATATGATCTATCTTGGAGAATGTTCCATGAGCACTTGAGAAGAAAGTGTATTCTGTAGTTTTTGGATGGAATGTCCTATAAATATCAATTAAGTCCATCTTGTTTAATGTATCATTTAAAGCTTGTATTTCCTTATTTATTTTTATTTTGGTTGATCTGTCCATTGGTGAAAGTGGGGTGTTAAAGTCCCCTACTGTGATTGTGTTACTGTTGATTTCCCCTTTTATGGCTGTTAGTATTTGCCTTATTTATTGAGGTGCTACTATGTTGGGTGCATAAATATTTACAATTGTTATATCTTCTTCTTGGGTTGATCCCTTGATCATTATGTAGTGTCCTTCTTTGTCTCTTGTAATAGTCTTCATTTTAAAATACGTTTTGTCTGATATGAGAATTGCTACTCCAGCTGTCTTTTGATTTCCATTTGCATGGAATATCTTTTTCCATCCCCTCACTATCAGCCTGTATGTTTCCCAGGTCTGAAGTGGGTCTCTTGTGGACAGCATTTTTATGGGTCTTGTTTTTGTATCCATTCAGCCAGTCTATGTCTTTTGGTTGGAACGTTTAATCTATTTTCATTTAAGTTAATTATTGATATGTATGTTCCTATTACCATTTTCTTAGTTGTTTTTGAGTTTATTATTGTAGGTCTTTTCCTTCTCTTTTGTTTCTTGCCTAGAGAAGTTCCTTTAGCATTTGTTGTAAGGCTGGTTTGATGGTGCTGTGTTCTGTTAGCTTTTCTTGTTTGTAAAGGTTTTAATTTCTCTGTCGAGTCTGTATGAGATCCTTGATGGGTAGAGTAATCTTGGTTGTAAGTTTTCCCCTTCCATCACTTTAAATATGTCCTGCCACTCCCTTCTGGCTTGCAGAATTTCTGCTGAAAGGTCAGCTGTTAACCTTATGGGGATTCCCTTGTATATTATTTGTTGCTTTTCCCTTGCTGCTTTTAATATTTTTTCTTTGTATTTAATTTTTGATAGTTTGAGTAATATGTGTCTTGGCATGTTTCTCCTTGGATTTATCCTGTATTGGACTCTCTGCGCTTCCTGGATTTCTTTGACTATTTCCTTTCCCATACTAATGAAGTTATCAACTGTAATCTCTTTAAATATTTTCTCAGTCCCTTTTATTCCTCTTCTTCTTCTGGCACCCTATACTTCAAATATTGGTGCATTTAATGTTGTCCCAGTGGTCTGTGAGACTGTCCTCAATTCTTTTCATTCTTTTTTCTTTATTCTGCTCTGCAGTAGTTATTTCCACTATTTTATCTTCCAGGTCACTTATCTGTTCTTCTGCCTCAGTTATTCTGCTATTGATTCCTTTTAGAGAATTTTTAATTTCATTTATTTTGCTGTTCATCATTTTTTGTTTGCTCTTTAGTTCTTCTAGTTACTTGTTAAGCATTTCTTGTATTTTCTCCATTCTCTTTCCATGATATTGGATCATCTTTACTCTCATTATTCTGAATTCTTTTTCAGGTAGATTGCCAGTTCCTCTTCATTTGTTTGGTCTGGTGTGTTTTTACCTTGCTTCTTCATCTGCTGTGTATTTCTTTGTCCTCTCATTTTGCTTAATTTACTGTGTTTGGGGTCTCCTTTTCACAGGCTGCAGGTTCGTAGTTCCCGTTGTTTTTGGTGTCTGCCCGCAGTGGGTAAGTTTGATTCAGTGGGTTGTGTGGGCTTCCTGGTGGAGGCGACTGGTGCCTGTGTTCTGGTGGATGAGACTGTATGTTGTCTTTCTGGTGGGCAGGACCCCTCCCGGTGGTGTGTTTTGTGGTGTCTGTGACCTTATTATGATTTTAGGCAGCCTCTCTACTAATGGTTGGCGTTGTGTTCCTGTCTTGTTAGTTGTTTGGCATAGGGTGTTCAGCACTGGAGCTTGCTGGTCATTGAGTGGAGCTGGGTCTTAGTGTTGAGACGGAGATCTGTGGGAGAGCTCTTGCCATTTGATATTACGTGGGGCTGGGAGCTCTCTGGTGGTCCAATGTCCTGAACTTGGCTCTCCCAGCTCAGAGACTCAGGCCTGACACCCAGCCAGAGCACCACGACCCTGTCAGGTACACAGCTCAGAAGAAAAGGGAGGAGAAAAAGAAAGAAAGAAAAAAAAATTAAAAAAATAAAATAAGTAAAAAGTTATTAAAATAAAATTTTTTAAAAATTATTAAATTTAAAAAAATAATAGAGCAACCAAATCAATAAACAAATCTACCAGTGTCACATGCACTAAAATCTAAACTAAGATAACCATATAAATCAAAAACTAGTCAGTCACATACAGTAAACCCCAACTGTACAGTTGTTCCCAGAGTCCACCGCCTCAATTTTGGGATGATTCGTTGTCTGTTCAGGTATTCCAGAGATGCAGGGTACATGAAGCTGATTGTGGAGATTCAAACCGCTGCTCCTGAGGCTGCTGGGAGAGATTTCCCTTTCTCTTCTTTGTTCGCACAGCTCCAGGGGCTCAGCTTTGGATTTGGCCCCACCTCTGCGTGTAGGTCGCCTGAGGGCGTCTGTTCTTCTCAGACAGGATGGGGTTAAAGGAGCCGCTCACTCGGGGGCTCTGGCTCACTCAGGCTGGGGGTAGGGAGGGGTACGGAATAAGGGGTGAGCCTGCGGCAGCAGAGGCCAGCATGACATTGCAACAGCCTAAGGCGCGTTGTGTGTTCTCCCAGGGAAGTTGTCTCTGCATCACGGGACCCTGGCGGTGGCGGGCTGCACAGCCTTCCGGGAGGGGAAGTGTGGATAGTGACCTGTGCTTGCACACAGGCTCTTGGTGGCGGCAGCAGCAGCCTTAGTGTTTCATGCCCGTCTCTGGTGTCCCGCGCTGATAGCTGGGGCTCATGCCCATCTCTGGAGCTTGTTTAGGCGGTGCTCTGAATCTCCTCTCCTCTCACAGCCCGAAACAATGGTCTCTTGCCTCTTAGGCAATTCCAGAGTTTTTCCCGGACTCCCTCTCGGCTAGCTGTTGCGCACTAGCCCCTTCAGGCTGTGTTCACGCCGCCAACCCCAGTCCTCTCCCTGGGATCTGACCTCCAAAGCCTGAGCCTCAGCTCCCAGGCCCCACCCGCCCCGGCAGGTGAGCAGACAATATTCTCAGGCTGGTGAGTGCTGGTCAGCACCGATCCTCTGTGTGGGAATCTCTCTGCTTTGCCCTCTGCACCCCTGTTGCTGCGCTCTCCTCTGTGGCTCTGAAGCTTCCCCCCCACCATCCCCTGTCTCCGCCCACGAAGGGCCTTCCTAGTGTGTGGAAACTTTTCCTCCTTCACAGCTCCCTCCCAGAGATGCAGGTCCCATCCCTGTTCTTTTGTCTCTATTTTTTCTTTTTTCTTTTGCCCTACCCAGGTACGTGGGAAGTTTCTTGCCTTTTGGGAGGTCTGAGGTCTTCTGCCAGCGTTCTGTAGGTGTTCTGTAGGAGTTGTTCCACGTGTAGGTGTATTTCTGATGTATCTGTGGTGAGGAAGGTGATCTCCACGTCTTACTCTTCCACCATCTTGAAGGTCCCTCTCTGTCATCTTAAGTAACTTGGGGATGTTCCTTTAGTCTTCTGGTATATGAGGTTAGGCTTAGCTTTTTTAGTGAGACTTTCCAATAATCCTGCCGTCAGAATCTAGGCAGGCCTGTCTGGCTAGTTGTACATTGGACTGAATTCTGAAGGTCTTACTTTGTTCTAGAATGTGAAGGTAGCAGGATGCTTTGTAACAGCAGCAACATAAAGGAACACTATCCTGGGATTTCAAATGTACTTCAATTTTTTATATCAGGATAAATGACCTCAAGAACTCAGATTTTTCCAAATCTCTCAGAGCTCATTGTGTCATAGACTCTGCTTCCTTTTATAACTGACTAAGTTGCTGAACCACTCTTGTAAGAGTGATGAATGAGGAACTCTTGGTTCCAGCAGTCAGTGCTCTCTCTTTGCATGAGTACCTTCTATCTCTGGTTGGATACAGGAATTCCTATATGTGACATGCAGAGCCTCCCTGCAAGGGAACATGTTTCCTTCTGACCATAATATCTACCCTTGCAGTCTAGGGCAAAAGAAAAGCACATAAAAGAAACCTCTCTGGTCTCTTTGCAGTACCATGTAATTTTAGGACCTGCACTTCTCAGCAGGTAGGTCATTAGATTGATACAGAGTTTGGACTGCAGTTTTGGTGCTAAAGCAACTAGACTGAAAGGATTCCATTTAGCCCTCAAAATAAAACCAGAGTATATAATTGTAGGTAGATAGATGCATTTGGCAGAAAGATAATCCTGTAAGATTATTTGTTCTTTTCCCTGCTATCCTGTTGTGAATATTTAGTACATTTGGTACAAATATTACTTTGTTAATAGAAGCCTAATAATGGCTTCTATGATTACTATTACTGTTATTATTATCAGTGGAGATGTAGTTCTTTGTAAAGAGAAATGAAAGAAATCTAAATTTAAGGTGCTGTATCTTTTTTGTTGGTTTGTTTTTAAACTAAGGAATGTTCTTTAGCACTGTATCATTGTCCTTTTTATCTAGGTGAAGGATGCTACCTGGAAGATAGCAAAGGCTTTTGCCATCTCTGGCCCGTTCAACGTCCAGTTTCTTGTCAAAGGAAATGAGGTCTTGGTAAGAAATGCCAAGGTGTTTGAGAGGACACCACTGCTGTGTTATGTCATGTTGGTTTGTGTCCCTCTGGTACTCTTCTCTGTGAACACCGCCACAGAGCAGCTGAGACCCCTGCAGCTGGTTGTGTCTGAGTATGGGAGTTGCACAGCACATAATGCCTGCCTTGTTTGAAAGCACTGGCTCTTGGTGGCACTGATATGTCAGTCACAGCTTTGAAAAGCACTCTGATCCACTGGAAAGAAGATCACTGACTGCCATCTTCAGTACAATATAGATGGATGCAGTAGCTATCATAAAGTAATCTGTCCAGGTTACTGTAGAATAGTCATAAATTACATGTACTGAAGTCTACTTTACTCCTTTCTCAGAGAAGAAAGCTGTTTTGGATACCATTTACCAAAAAAATAAAAAATGTTAAGTCAACTAGGTTAGTCTTAGTTAAGTTAGTTTATTTAATGTAACTAATCAGTAACCAATATTGATTCCTCACCTACTATGCAAAGTCATAAGGTGGCTACAGAGACGTACAGAGCCCAGTCTCTGCTCTCAAAGATCCACGATTTAGTGAGAACTGGGGAGAAGATGAATTTATAGATGACTATAACATAAGTCAGAATATAATAGCTGCTAGAAGGAATGTACAAGTAAAGTGGTATCGGAGGCACAGAACAGAGAGAGCCTATCTATTAGTGTGTGTGTGTGTGTGTGTGTGTGTGTGTGTGTGTGTGTGTGTGCCTGCACATATGTGTATGAGCATGTATTTGACTGTCATATGCCTGATTTGGGGTGGATCATAAAAGATTTCAAGGAAGATTTTGTAATTTGAGCTGGGTCTTAAAGAATAGCTGGAATTGTGACAGGTAAAGGAAGATAGAAAGGACAGCACACATACAATATGTGTGGGTAAATTTGGCGCATTTGGGAGATAGTGACTAGTCCAGTTTATCAGTGACCAGCTGATGATGACTAGCTCAGTTCATTATTTTTCCAGGGAAATCATGGAAGGTAAACTTAGAAAGAAAGACTGGGGCCAGGAAAGTGGTACAAGATAACATAGAGGCAAGAGGATAGAAGTCTTTCAAGGGCTAGACATTAATCTCATGGCCAGTAGAAATCCACTGAAGGCTTTCTAGTAGGGCCGTGGCATTATCTGAACTCTGCATTAAAACAAATCTGTCAAGAGTGTGTGGGGATGGAATTGTGGAACGGGGAGGGGAAAAAGTCAGAGTTCAAGGATACTGACTGAAAGGAAACCAGTTAGCAAAAGTCAAGCAGTGGGGAGAAAAGGAAGAGGCTGGCAAAGCAAGACTGGGCCCCAGTAACAGCTGGAACCAAAGTGGCCAGGAGCATATTAATATTGTCATTGTCTCTCATCATCCTTCCTCTTCTTTTGAATTTTGTTATCTCTCCAGGTGATTGAGTGTAACCTGAGAGCTTCTCGATCCTTCCCCTTTGTTTCCAAGACCCTTGGGGTAGACTTCATTGATGTGGCCACCAAGGTGATGATTGGAGAGAACATTGATGAGAAACTCCTTCCGACATTGGAGCATCCTATAATTCCTGCTGACTATGTTGCAATTAAGGTAATATTTTCAAAAATCTTAGTCATTTTTTAAGTTCCAAAGAAATGAAAGGAATAATTTTTCATCAAAAATAATCTTGATACGTTCTGAACCTTGTAACTGAAGTGCTAGACTAGGGGATTACGATGTTTGCTTTGAATGCAGTTGCGATGCAATGTATAGCATTGCAATGCATGTATAGCATATTGCAATGTATAGCAGTGCAGTTGCTATACAGGCAACTTTACGTGTACTCTTATGCATTTCAAAAATTAAAATAATATTTAGAATTACATAACTTCAAAGCCAACTAGCTGAGTGACTTATAAACTACATTTATGAAGCTGATACATAATGCTGCCAGTTCAGTTGGTAGACAGAAATTCTGAGCATATCTTCTTGGGATAAGGCTTCAGTTGTGCCAAGACTTCAGGAATGCATGAATCTTGTAAAAGTGTTACCTTGTGGTGTTGGTTAAATGTTTACTGCCTTGGCTTAGTTCCTGTTTTCTCTAGTGGCAGAATATTTTCACAGTGGTACTGTGAGGGCAATGAAATTGATGGCACCTTTATGAAGAGTGACCAGGAAAATTTAAGGTTTGTTCACTAACTTCAAATACAGGCATGCCTTGGAGATATTGTGGGTTCGGTTCCAGACCACCACACAATTTTTTTGGCTTCCCTGTGCATATAAAAGTTATATTCACACTGTACTGTAGTTTGTTAAGTGTGCAATAGCATTATGTCTCAAGAAACAATGTGCATAGCTTAATTAAAAACCACTTTATTGCTGAAAAATACTAATCGTCATCTGAGCCTTTGGCGAGTCATAATCTTTTTGCAATAGTAACATCAATGGTCACCGATCGCAGATCACCATAACAAATACAATAATAATGAAAAAAATTGAAATACTGTGAGAACTACCAAAATGTGACACAGAGACATGAAGTGAGTAAATGCTGTTGGAAAAAATGGTGCCAATAGACTTGCTCAATGTAGGGTTGCTACAAACCTTCAATTTGTAAAAATTGCAGTATCTGTGAAGTGCAATAAAGCAAAGCATCATAAAACGAGATACACCTGTATATGTGTATATTTTGAATAAGAACTTTATCATAAATCCATTGTGTTCCTCTAGCTGCCTCAGTATACCCATGAACAGAGTATTTATAATAGTGACCTTTAACTACCTCACTGGACATTATGAGGATTAGTGAGATATTATGTAAATATATTTAAATTCTTTAGATAGGCATACAAAAAATTAATTTATATTGTATAATATATTTGTGACATTTACGTACTTTGGATGCCTTCGCAGGTTTCCACTCTTATGTGTACTAGTGACCTCAACCATAATTGTGTTACAGCTGAGACTCTGACTTCTGACTTTTACAGTGGAAGTTTTAAGTTGAAGCTATAAATCAAAAAATATTTATTAATCTTATTTAAGTTAATAATTTAGGATGCCTTGGATTTTATAGTGCACTGGGATGGAATGTCACCTCTTATGTTGGGGGAGGGTAACATTTTATTCCTGGAAGCTGTGACACAACATAAATTGTTAAAAGCTTTCAGTGGGAATATATGTACATAGGATTTTACTGTTTGAGACCAATAAGAAGAAGGCCCCGAAAAGTATTTTTCCACTGGAAATGGTATATATGAATTTCAAATTCATGCTTCTTTATTCTTAACCACAGGAATGTACACACACATACACACACATATGTGTATGAAATAATTTCCAACTAATAACAATACTGAGGGGTAGATATGAATTTTTCGAAATGCACTGTATCTTTCAGTTTACTTCTTTCCTAGTTATCCTTGTGCATGAATCTTGACTTTTTTGTCAAATTACTTATTCAAAGTCAATCTTAATATAGTCCTAGTGAGGTGGATGGATATCAACAGATGAGATAGAGAGAGGCTAGAGGGCAGGAATATATGATAACTTGACTTAGGATGACCCAGTGAAATGACCCCAAGCTAGAATTCCCATGATGACTTAGAGGGGTACCAGAATCAAAGATGTATAGTCTAGGCTAGATAAATGGATATATGCAAGAAACAAGAATTCGATTCTTAGTGAATTGCATTGGTAAAATAAATGAAAAGGAAGCACTGCTATCTATGTTCTAGTTCATATGAAAGTTCTGGGCAAAAGTGTTCCCAAGCAGAATGTTTTTCAAAGCTTTTAAAGAGGTATCAACAGCAGTTTAATGTCTCAGAAGTCAGCTTGCAGACAGACCTTTCTGGCAATGTGGCTTGTTGCAAGTCCAAATAATCAGAACAAGAAGAGGAATGTTTCAGAAGCCTACCAAGGAAAAAGTGTGTTTGAACTCTGTGTCTGGGGAGACCAGTGCCCAATATACTTCGTTTGAAATCACTCCAGTAAGAATATGTGTAAGCCAGATTAGAAACACTGGCCTAGACAGGTCACTGGGGCCCTATTTACAGAAATAATTTGTGATTGTTTAACCCAATTTTTGGCCCAAAGCTCAAGAAATTCCTGGAACAGAGGTTTAAAGCCACTTTTCAAGTCAGACGCTTGGACCAAAGAAATTTTTTACATGTCTACTGTAGCCTAAATGAACCCTATGAGAGATGATTCACTAAATATTTTTATCCTCGTTTATACCTTTTATACCCTTCTCTCAACATATTTTTCCTACCCGTTATTTTTGACAGGCTCCAATGTTTTCTTGGCCCCGGTTGAGAGACGCTGACCCCATTCTGCGTTGTGAGATGGCTTCTACTGGAGAGGTAACTAGTTAATGATCCATGACCACTTTCATTAAATCTACTTTGAAATCTATGCTTTTATGATCTGAATATAGTAAAGCAAGTTAGTAAGTAGTTAGTGGGATACTCCTTTTGCTATCAGAGTAAGTCTGAAAGGACTTAGGCATTTTGAGCTGAGGAAAAATCTTTGACTCTTGTAGCCCAGAGTCTAAATTCTCACTTATATTTCAACATGTGTCATTCACTTCCACATTACACATTGAGAACATCTTTCAAATATTCCTCTAGATGTCTAGGTAAATATCTGCCAGGTATTTTTATTTTAAGCTTCTCAGAGCTCTCTGTAACAGCACCTCTTGCTTCCTCTAACTTTCCTTGCTACTATGAAATTAGATCATCGAGATTTTACTAGCAATATGTGGAATGAATGTACAGCAGCAGAAAGATAATGGGGCCAAAATATTTTGGGATCTGCAGATATTTGCAAAATCCCAGAACCACTTTAAAAGCAACTTTAACTTCTTGGGGATTATCTAAAAACTATAGTGGGACTGGCCACTGGATGTCCCTCTTCACTTGTGTTGAGGACTCTGTCAGCTGAAGGTTTCTTTTTTTTTTTTTTTTTTTTTTTTTTGTGGTACGAGCCGGGCAGGCTCAGCGGCCATGGCTCACAGGCCTAGCCGCTCCGCGGCATGTGGGATCTTCCCAGACCGGGGCACAAACCCGTGTCCCCTGCATCGGCAGGCGGACTCTCAACCACTGCGCCACCAGGGAAGCCCTGAAGGTTTCTATAAGAATGTGAAATGTGTTTCTTGTAGAAAGCTGTCAGATACCGGAGAGTTCCCTACATGTTAGTGCCAGGACATTTTATGAATCACCTAGCCCTTGACAGACTTACTAGGTACAGCCTTCAGATTCTCATCAGTGCCCATGGGGGTGGCAACATCAGACTGGGAGGTGTCATTGTTTCCTCTTGGTGTTGAGGAAAACCTGAAAGGGGAAAATACCTAATTGCAACATATACGTGATATTTTATATGGTTGCCTGGTTGCAAGCAAGATCTGTGATGAGAAGCCAAGTGAAACAGGAAGGGAGGCAGTGAGGAATAAATGGCTATCTTGTTCGTATTTGGACTGATGATTGCCTTCTCTTAGCTCCTTTGCTGCTTCTGTTAATTTAATAGATGAGAAAACCTAACCTGAAAACAAGGGACTTACATTACATTTCTCTGCTGTTTAAGGAGCTACTCTGATATTCATCGTGATCCCTTGGTCACTCAGTAGCAGGGCTGTTTTCAGCCAGCCCAGGATTCACATCAGGGAGAGATCTGTTTTCCTTCATGCTGTTTTCTGTAGTGTGGCAAATCTATTTTCAGTACTGTATCTATGTCCATTCTGCCTCCAGACATACGTTATTGGAGTTGTTGAAATACGAAAATATGAGAGAATTAGAAATTCAGCTCCCCCTTACTTGTATCTGTTTCAGAAGTACAGAGAGATAATTCTTCTTCCATTAGAGTCATATTTCCAAGTGTCACTAAGTACAGTATTACAAGTTCTGTTTTATAACTGAAATCATAATAATAATTCTAGCTTAGTGAAATCTCAGTTATGCTTCAGAGACATTTTCAGTGTTAAAATGGCTTGTTGTGGGATTAAATAAACCTTTAGCTTTCCTAGTGGTGAGGTGGGAATGTTAGTCCTAATCTTTACTTACATATTTAACTACTTTTTATGTTATTTGTAGAAAACTGCTGAAACCTCTTGTGGGTTGTATATGCACTTATGATGGAATTGCCCAGGTTCTTTCAGTATGGTTTGGGTTCTGTTAGCTTAGGGTGACATTACTAATTTGGTTAGCCAGTTCTTGACCAAAGAAAATGTTCACTGTAGAGTAAAAAGCAGCATGTACTGGTGATCAACTGAAAATCATAGTCATGAGAACTTTCCTTTGACAGTAAGGTAGTCATTTGCTTAAAGAATGAATTTAGCCATCAGTGTTATTTACTCTAATGGTGGTTCTCTACCCGTGCCAAATGATGATGTGCATGGCAGAATCTACTCCTATCATGCTCAGATATACCACTTGTTCTGTAGTTAGTGTGGGCGTTTGACTTGTAGTTATATTGTAGCACAGTTACCCTAGGGGAAGCCTCTGTATATCTCAACATTATATGTTAATTTGGAATTTTTTTTACTTTAGGCTATAATATTCAGGACTAGTAGCAAGGTATTTTGGTTCATTTTATGAAAACAATAATAATAAAAGAACAAGTTCCTTTGAGATTTTCATAGATTTATTGAATTTCTCTGAAGGCTTTCTCATACATATGAAACGACTCCTAACTGATTGACCAGCAGTTATGCATTTGTGCTACTGACCCATGAATTCATGCCCTGTTGCATAGCATACAAGACATATACCATTACGTAAACGTTAAGTTGTATTAACATTTGGTAACTCACCATATTATGGGCCAGAAGCTGTAATTTGTATCCAGATATCTCACAGTAGAATCCAGTTGCGTTGCTCCATGGAGTGTTGTTGGATAGAGAAAGAATTGCTTATTTGTTCATTATGTTTAATTAAAAAAACAAGATACGTCTGCCCTAGCCAGATTTTTAATCCCTGGATTCAGATTACATGGTCCTTGGGTAACTCAATAAAATCTAGCATAGGAGTCTCTGACTTTTCATCTGTGTTTGTTTTTTGGTAAGGTTGGGTGACTATCATTTGCTTTCTTTTACTTTATTTTTTTCATTTATTCTAAACAGGTGGCTTGCTTTGGTGAAGGTATTCATACCGCTTTCCTAAAGGCAATGCTTTCCACAGGATTTAAGATACCCCAGAAGGGCATCCTGATTGGAATTCAGGTAAGTGGTGTGTGGTTGTATGCATGCCTGTGGGCACATGCTGGGAGTTGGTGGGGGAAATGACCTTAATGGTGGTATAGAAGAGGGGAGATTTGTTTAAAGTTCCACTAAAAAAAACCCAGCAACTTCTAGAAAGAACGGACATTTGTACTCTGTCTGTTCCCTGATTTTTGCCTTTTCTCATTGCAGCAGCCAACACAAATAAGTGAATAAACAACTAAAAAAAAAAAGGAAGAAAGAAAAGAAAAAAATCTCTAGTGAAGTGATACTTATCCTGAACAGGATTTAGGGTAACTTCAAAAGGATTCTATTCTACTCTTTGGTTACACCTTTTCTATATTTTTATTCTTAGTTCTACCTCCTTAGCCTCTGAACCTAGGCTTTCCATAAGGTTGGGTCTCAACTCTTTTTCTGAGTCTGTATCTATGTCTGTGTCTAGTTCTTTCTCTTGACTTTCTCCTTTGCCAGCTCATTCATGTCTGTGGTATCCACTCTCCATCTAAAAATATCAACTTTAAATCTTTATCCTCAGCCATCCCGTTTCCAACAATTTGCTGGATACCTCTATCTGGATGTCTCAAACACAGCACATCCCAAACTGAAGTCAGTATTATCCCCTCCTGACCTCTGTTCCTTCCTTCCTTACATTCATTCATTCACATTTCAATTTCTACTAAATGTCAAAGATTCAAAGTTGAAGAAGACATGGGCATTATTTGAGAAATTTTCTTAGCCTGACACTCCAAGACGAATTGAAAGTTCTTAAAGGGCAGTGACTTCATGGGCTTAAGAAAGTCAGCACATCCCACAGTGTACTGTGGAAGTTCTTGAAATATTGTTACTTAGTAAACCTTCTAAGTCAAAGCAGGGTGAAGTAATTATACGTGAATATCTTCATACAGTGAGAAGGACATTATTGGTTTACTGTTGCAAGTCAAATGTAAATCTTAGGGCAAAATGGGAGCCAGGAAACTCTTATTACTCCTTGGAATATTATTACAAGAGTGTACAAACTGTTTGTTTATAAATTTCCTGAAAAATACTAGATGTTTCCCAACTGATCATTCACTTTCATTTGAGGTTAGTAATTCTTGGAGCCTATAATAACAATAGATGGTTTTATATATCACCCCTGCCATACTTTTAATAATTTCAAATCCTGCATGGTTACATACAAATCAATAAAAATAAAATTAGAATAATACCAGGTATTTTCAAATCAGTGGGTAATTATTAGAGATGCTGTCGCATTAGAGTGCCTTAATATCAGCAAATTAGTCTCTGGAGACTGGATGGGTAGCGGCTTTGGAGAAGTTTCTGCAAAGACTAAATTGGGATTTTGCTTCATAAAGGTGCCAGAAGGGCGATGGTGAACAGTTAGAACAGAAGCTAACAAGATGAATTGCAATTGCGAAGCTTAATGGCAGTTCAGAGACACATCACACCATATGAGAGACTCATCACATTATAATGGGTATTAAGTATTATTAAGTCACAAGTATAAGAGTATTTCTCCAACTTCTAGTTATGGCTTAAAGTTTAATGTGAGACCTGGGGGCATCCAGAGGAGACCATGCCCTTAGTCCCCGTCCTCACAACTAATCAGAATAGTGCTAACATTTTAAAATACCACTTTAAGAAGGCAGTGATGTATAAAATAGTGCCTTGTTTGGTTCCAGTGCTGCAGGGAAATGTAAAGCAAAAATTAATTTGATCCCCATGAAGTACTAGTGTGATTTTGGCATCAGTGAACAGAATTTTTGCTTTGTAGGGAAAAAAGGGGGTTTGTAGGGGAAAAAAAAGTTTTCTTAAAGCAATGAGGTTTTGTCCATTTAAGTTTTACCTTTCAGTGTATTCTTTTTTAAAGAAATCAGTGTTCCAGCAGCTACATGAATTTTTGCAAAGAACTTTCTCCCTGTGCATGCATACATAATGTAAGGAATTTAAATATATATGTATTTTAATTACAGAATTTAAAAAGTATATTTAAAGAAATATTTAATAATAAAGTTATATTTAATAAAATATTTGCAGCTGTGGTAAAATTGATCATTAAGACTCTAAGCCTCTAGAGATATGCAAAAATCATTTTCTAACCTACTTTATATGGGAGGCAAAGAAAAGCTGCCATCACCAACAGTCAGTGTATAATCTCTTCATTATTATATGGAGGATTTTCATTTATAGTGATTTCTTTAAAAAGGATAATCACAAATTTAACTGAACAATATGACAGAATATACTAACCCTAGAGTTAATAGCTAAAACTCCCTGGACATCTTCTTAGGCAGAATGGGAACAAATCTACCTAAGCTTCATATTAACTGTGGATAAAGTAATTATAATTCCATATTTCAGGATACATTATGCTTAAAAAAACACATTTTATTTAACATGATTCCACTTGGACAGAAGAATTCATATAAATTCATCCAAATACATAAAGTCAGAACTGAAAAGGGCCTAAAATAGTACTGCTAATATATAAACGGGGTTAAGGCCAGTAAATACAAGAGAAGAAATTTCGTTGAGTTATGTACTAAGAAGGAAAGTCCACCATTGCATTTTGATTTCCTGAGATAAACATTCATTTAGCATGATGTTATGTAGACTTCAATCACAGAAGAGCCCTGGTAGCCAGCACTGTCGCAGTTAATTTGCTTTATTATTCCTTCATGTATATATGGGGAGATTGGTCAACATCTGTAACATTTATTTGGAGTAAAGGTCTTCTTTTCTCGTCATTGCTGCACCCTGACCCAGCTACCTGCTATGAGTAGAAAGATTTAATGGAATAAACCTTACCTCTAACTTTTCACAGCAGGTTGCAAGAGAAAATTGGGGGAAAAGAGAAATATGGAGGAAAGGCAAAAGGGACGCTGAGCCGGGAAACATTTTTTCTTATTGTTGGTAGTTTAACACATATTTCAAATTTTAATTTATCACTAGCAAGTATCAACCACGACTCAACATTTAGTAAATAGATCGTGTGTGTGTGTGTGTGTGTGTGTGCATGTGTACATGCTCGTTAGTTATATTTCAGTGTTCCTAATTTTTCTTTCTTTCTCTTTCCTACCCTACTCCTTCACACACAGAGACCCTCTGTTTCTGCCTTCTCAAAGTTAATCCTATGGTCAAATTACTTGGGAAGTTTGAAATATTCATGACATCAATCTTGCGTAACTAGGACTTAGGGAAAAAAAAATCAAGATTTAGATTTTGTCAAAGGATCCTTGTCAGGCTTCCCTGGTGGTGCAGTGGTTGAGAGTCCGCCTGCTGATGCAGGGGACACAGGTTCGTGCCCTGGTCTGGGAAGATCCCACATGCCGCGGAGCGGCTGGGCCCGTGAGCCATGGCCGCTGAGCCTGCACGTCCGGAGCCTGTGCTCCGCAACGGGAGAGGCCACAACAGTGAGAGGCCCGCGTACTGCAAAAAAAAAAAAAAAAAAAAAAAGGATCCTTGTCAACTATTATATGTACTGTGTTTCTACCAAGACCCTTTCCATAAGCACAGATCCTAATATAAGAAAGGCGTAATGTAGGTTTATGTGGCAACAAAATCGTCTTTGACTTTCCTGCAATATTTCCATCAGGGTTTATTTTTAGTTGCTATGAGTAGGCAATCTGCCTTGTTTTGAAGTTTTCTGGAACACCCTTTAACAATAAATGATTTACTCTAGAGTAGATCAAGAGCCCTCACTGTTTTTTCCCCTCTGATTGGGCTATTCAGCGATGCTTGTGAAGAGTACCATCCTGACATCTGCGCTTCAGCATTGCCCAGGAACACAAAGCAAGCATTTTATTTGAAAAAGACAACTCCAAGTGACATGAATAACCTTTTATCTTCAATACAGAATCATTAGGAACAACCATAGCATTGTCAATCCAGACGTCCCGGTAGAGTCCACAGGCATGACACAGCCTTAACTTGGCTTTTGGTTCTGTAGCCAGAAGTTGGATTAATGTGAAAATGATAATTAGAGGAAATATTTATTTTTATCATTTTTAAAAGACTTTCTTCCTTATAAATGTTTTCCAGGAAATAAATCAGCTTGTACTTTTCACCTTTAGTAACAAATGGTTTCTTACCCAGGTATTTTCAATCAGCTATTAAATCTGGGGCTACTCAGATGCAAGCTGACAGCTGTAATTTCTTTTTGTAGAGAGCCTATTTTATGTGTCACAAGTGTTCAATACATGTTTGATAGAAGTTTATAATGTGACTATGAAAGCCAACACCCCAGACCAGAAGGCAGAGTAGTTCCCTGGCTGGAAACTGCCAATACTGTCATGTCGGATATTTATCTTTTCCACCTGGGGGACAACACTGAAACAGATCCATAATGAGGTTCTGACTGGTATCTGCAGGTCAGACAGTATTTGAAATGCAGCTTAGTGACTCCAGAGCCCATTCTTTTACTCTTTGCCAAACTGAGTTCCAAATGATTGACTTATTGTAGGGAACGGTGCATGAACTACTAGGACAGGGCCTAGTTATTGAAGTGCAGTCCCAAGTTAGAATTCAGCAATTAGAACGGGTTGAACAGCAAAACATCCAACAAGGCTGACTTGGTGCTGAGCGCCTAATCCAGGTGACCTTAAATTCTCCCTGACCAGGAAAAGGGTTCATCCAGAGCTGGGGTGAATCTGATTCTACAGGCAGAGACTAAGTGGATTAAATAGGGGGTGAAGGAATTTGAGGGGTAAGAAGTAAGACAGTAGAAAGCAAGACAATGTGGATGGAATTTCATCTTTATCGGAAAATAAGTAAGAGGTTATACTCATTAAAGGAGAATAAAAGGATAAAACTTGTCATCTTTGAATAGAAAGCACCTGGCAACACATGGCATTGCCTTTTATGACATGAGAGAATGCCATACTGCATGACTAAATGAATAACATGTATATCTGGAAAGTGAATTCAGTTAAATTCCTTTAATTTCAGCAATCATTCCGTCCACAATTCCTTGGTGTGGCTGAACAATTACACAATGAAGGCTTCAAGGTATGTGATATTAATTTTTTAAGTTGTTTTCTGTCAGCATTCTATCTGCAAAAAAGAATACTGAAGAATATTAGCGAATAAAATAGCGCAAAATATAACCTCTCCACTTGAAAGATGTCTAACTTGACAGTTTCAAAACTTCAATGGAATAAACTAATTAGAAAGACTAGCTTTAAGTTTTAACACAATTACCACAAACAATAAAATTTGCTGGCTAAAAACTTAGAGAGTTTTGCATACACAGAATTGGGATAAAGTTTCAATGTATTTCCATATATTTTCCATTTTTCCTTTTTCTGTTTCCATACGAAGTCATAGTTTCCAGGTGTTAACAGTTACAGGCAAAAATTCTTTGCCATGAATATCCCCACACAAAGCCTGGTTCTGTAAAACAGAATGAGTCCCAAGCCTCATTGGACCTGTGGTCATGAGGGTTTGTTGGCCTAATAACAATGAATTTTCAGCCATCAACAACTCTTTATTTTTCTCCTCTACAAAAGCAGTTACAATTGAGGTTATTAAATTTTTTCTTACTGCAAATATTTTAAAAATATTTAAAGTGCCCATGACTCTAGATGCTGAGTCTAAATCTCTATTTCTGACATCATTTTGCATCTCATATTCACCAGTTTTTTCTGCTCTATGCTTTAAATGACACGTGTGTCCCAGTGGTTGTCTTTGTTCTGTGAAAACTTTCCCTGTGATACAGTAACCGACTTTTCCATCTTAAATGCAGCTCTTTGCTACGGAAGCCACATCAGACTGGCTCAATGCCAACAATGTCCCTGCCACCCCAGTGGCGTGGCCGTCTCAAGAAGGACAGAATCCCAGCCTCTCTTCCATCAGAAAGTAAGAACTGGGCAGAATATTCTGAGATAGCAAAACAGATGAAGGATTAACTTTGGGAACTATTGTGATGTAAATATATCACCTTACCCTATAGCAAGTCTTCTAAAAGTCTTCTTAGTCATCCAATTTAAAATGATGAAATTGGTGAATGATAGTAAAGCTTCCTTCTCATGAACTTTGCTATTACTACAAAACACATAATTCCATATATGTACATGGTGATATGTAGCATCTCTCAAAATGTCTCCTAGTAAGTATCCATTCCTTGACTGACACCAGGATCTCAGTGGTGAGAATCATGGGCATGAAGAATGTAATGCAGCACTCTGTATTTTATGGCAAACTTATATTGTGTATATCAAGAATGCTCAGCTGCATTTCACTGAGGTTGTACATCAATGAATCAGTCAGTTTACTGAGGACTTGCAGCATGCAGGACACTAGGGGGAGTGCTATGGTAATGTCATCTATTGTATTACCTAATTTGCCATTCTTTGATCAGGTTGGTTGTTATGCCTTAGGCTATGTCATCATTAGGTTTTTTGGGTTTTTTTTTAACATCTTTATTGGTGTATAATTGCTTTACAGTGGTGTGTTAGTTTCTGCTTTATAACAGTGAATCAGCCATACATATACATATATCCCCATATCTCCTCCCTCTTGCGTCTCCCTCCCACCCTCCCTATCCCACCCCTCTAGGTGGTCACAAAACACCCAGCTGATCTCCCTGTGCTATGCAGCTGCTTCCCACTAGCTATCTATTTTACATTTGGTTGTATATATAAGTCCACGCCACTCTCTCATTTCGTCCCAGCTTAGCCTTCCCCCTCCCCGTGTCCTCAAGTCCATTCTCTATATCTGCGTCTTTATTCCTGTCCTGCCCCTAGGTTCATCAGAACCTTTTTTTTTTTTTTAGATTCCATATATATGTGTTAGCATACGGTATTTATTTTCCTCTTTCTGACTTACTTCACTCTGTATGACAGACTCTAGGTCTATCCACCTCACTACAAATAACTCAATTTCTTTTCTTTTCGTGGCTCAGTAATATTCCATTGTATA